GGGTCGGGTTGCTGTCGAGTTCTATATTCCGTCCGGGGGTCAGGCAGTTTCTGAATATTTCCCGCTAACCCACATCCCAATATTCCAGAGCCTGTGGGCAGCGTGGCACCGCGTGTCAATAAGAAGGACGGCTTTAGCCACGACAGCATCCGTCGGGGCCAGACAATAGCCATTTTCTGTCCTGCCCAGGCCTACCCCGTGCCCTTCTATAGGTAATGCGTGCGGCATGTCCAAAGTTTTCCAATTACCAACGAGCCAAGATTAAGTCGCCAGGCCTCATTGGCCTCAAACTCTAATTAGCTTTGTGTCCACAACTGCCGCCCAATTTAACCCATTCATTGTCACGCAACCCCCACCCCTTTTCCAAGTTAGTTGAGTGGCAGGTAATTCCTATTGTTGTCGAGCAACTTTGGCAGTTTTCAATGTTAGTCCAGGCTTCTGATACTCAAGCCGTCTCGTTCCTCCGCAGAGCCCGTGGGCAGTGTGCCACCCAAGATCAGTGTGGGTGAACGGCGCAAGGACGCTGAGGTGCCTCTGCGGCAAGACCTGAGCATCTTCTGTCCGGCACAATCATATCCAGTTCCCGCATTCAGGTGAGCCCAGTAGGATTTCCCACTCAGGCAGTTTTCATTAGGTCAATTTTGGATGTACTCTTACATAATGGTTCTCTTCCAGAGCCGGTGGCCAGTGTTGGTCCCAAAATCAGTGTGGGCGAGCGACTCAGGGATGCTGGAGCTTCCTCAAAGTCTACTCTGACGCTTTTTTGTCCAGCTCAATCGTACCCAGTGCCCTCGTTTAGGTAATGACAGCTCATTCAGGCAGTTATCATAATAATATCCAAAGCAGCTTTGATCTAGATAATAGGTTAACTAACTTTTTCTTAGAACCTGTGGGCAGTGTGGCTCCCAAGATCAGTGTCGAGAATCGTCTGAAGAATGCAGAGGCTAGCCAAGCTTCCAGTTGCACTCTCTTTTGTCCTGGTCAGGCCTATCCGGTGCCTTTCTTTAGGTAACCCTTACCTTACTTTTAGGCAGTTTTCATCATGTTTTATTTTCACTTTGACCCTGTATGTAATACCGATAACTTATAGAGCCCGTTGGCAGTGTGGCACCGAAACTGACGTCTGGTGATAAGACCCGAAATGTGGATATTAACCTAAGTGGGAGTGTGACCCTACTTTGTCCTGCCCAAGCCTATCCGGTTCCTTTTTTCAGGTGATTTTTCCAAGACATTCGGGCAGTTTTTAGTTAACTTTCGAATGGTTTTTAAAGTATATTTGGTTGGTTTTTCCAGAGCCTATTAGTGGATCTGCCCCCAGGGTGGCCCTTATTCAGAAAACGAATATTGATTATGTCCGCCTGGGCGGAACAGTAGCCATAATGTGCCCTGCACAGGGTTTTCCAGTGCCAGCTTTTAGGTGAGACTAAACAACATTCAGGAAGTTTTCATTATCTCGTTCCTAAAACTAATATATATTTTTCGTTCAATTTAAATCATGTAGAACCTATTAGTAGTACGGTGCCCAGAGTGGTCTCACTGGCCAAGTTCGATATGAAAACCTATGCTGGCTCCTCGACCCTGGCTCTGCTTTGTCCGGCTCAGGGTTATCCAGTGCCAGTGTTTAGGTAAAAATGTATAAATATATACAACATTCATGCAGTTCAGGTTGTAGTTGGACAAATTTTAAATTAATTTGTTATTTCTATAGAGCCCGTTTCAAGCACAGCTCCCAAAGTGCCGCCTTTGCAGTCACGACCTCTGGTAGTTCCTGGGCTGACCTATGTCTCCATTTTGTGTCCTGCTCAAGGCTATCCAGCTCCCAGTTTTAGGTTGGTTCTCTTATGAATAGATATCTCAGGAATATGAAGATTTTAATTTATTTGAAACTAATAGAAGTTTCCGTGCATCCTCTAATAAATAGATGTCAACTCCGACATTCAGGCAAATCTAAATATCCACGGCTTTGGCTTGATTTTCTAATAATGAGTTCCTGATTTTGTAGAACCCATCAGCAGTAGTCCACCAAAGATAAATGCTCTGACCTATAAGCCCAATGTGGTGGACTTTACAGCTACTACGGCTTTATTGTGTCCAGCGCAGGGTTACCCGTCTCCCAGCTTCAGGTGGGTTTTCTGGCTACCCCTAGACCAACATCAGGCACTGGTTCAGATATTCTTATAAAAATACAATAAAATCCAATATTCGCAGAGCCTATTTCAAGTACTGCTCCCCGAACTCCGGCGTTAGTACAAAAACCTCTGGAGCTGCTAGAGTCGCTCTCCATATCATTGCTGTGCCCTGCCCAGGGATTTCCGGCTCCCAGTTTTCGGTAAGCCGAAACAAGCATTCAGGCGGTGATTAATGTCACACTGTTTTGACCGTATAGAACCCGTCGGTGGCAAGGCCCCAACGCTACTCTCTAATGACATCAAGAGGTCGTGGATAGATCGAATGCTGGCCACCAATTTGGCCCTATTCTGTCCGGCCCAGGGATTTCCGGTTCCAGCTTTTAGGTTAGAAAAGATAGGGTTATCATTATTTAAATCTATGAAGCAATCGAAGTGTTAAAGATTTTTCTGGTGCTCGCAATCACATTGAGAATCTTTTTAAATTCCCAAAAATCATTGCCTTTCGCTTAGGAAAGTACGTTCTTCATTAACTGTTGCATAGCTTCATCCCACATTTCAGTCAAGCACAGAAAAAAAATTATTACGCAATTTTGGGTCATGTTTCTCAGTTAAACCCCTTAAGGAATAAAATTAATTTTGAAACCTTTAAGTTGCTCATAGCGTATAATTTATTTTCTGTGTATCTTTGATAAAAAACCGAAGAATTGCCTTTTCCTTTCCTCAGAGCCCGTTTCGTCCAAGGCCCCCGTTCTTTCGGTCGACACCAAGTGGTCAGGCATCGAGAGGCGCTGCGGCATGGACATCGTGCTGCTGTGTCCCGCGCAGGCATTTCCTGTGCCCATCAGCAGGTTAGGACCCCAAAAACGTGACTTTAATTATGCACGAGCGGTCTGGGCGGTAGCTAGGGAGCAAAGCCAGGGGGCGGGACGCAAAGTTCATTCATAAAAATGCGCGCGCAAAGCAAGAAGCAAAGAAAATAGGCGAACGCACGCATAAAAGTAAGCTACGTAAACAAACCATAAACAGGGCGAAGGCGGAAAGCACGAGAATCGGTAAACAGACCCATACACTCTCACATGTGGGTGCTGCTGCCTCCCTTTCTCTCTCTCCTCTCTAGGTTGCGTTGGTGTGCGTGCGAGAGATGTAAACAAACTGGTTCGGTCTCTCTGGCTCTCTCCCGCTCTCTACTGCGCACACTCGCAATCCACACGAAATTTCCCAAACAATTACCCCTCCGCGGCGAGTGTGGATCGCATCTGTCCCGCTCGCACACTGGCTGATGAATGAACGCACGTTTCTGGGTCAACAGCCGCCGGTTTGTGCCACTTTCCCGAGGTCAACCGGCAGCGCGACCTCCACTTGTTGCACGTTCAGCTGTCGCCGACTGAGCCGGCGCTTCTGCGCATGCCCCTGGCCTTAACATTGACCCCGACCCCCATGGAGTTTGCATTGCTTAATACCAAGCCAATGTCTCCCCCTCTCCTCCACACCACTGCAGTCTTTGTACAAACTTTGCGACCAGGTTAAGGTCGCGGTCAGGTTAGGGTTGCCAGGTCAAGCTGCGCGTCGCAGCGAAAGTTTGTTATTTGAAATTAAGAGGAAAAGAAGAAAGTACCTCTACATTCAGTCAGTGACTTTTTTACGATAAGAGTAACTAAAGGTTAATTTCACTTGCAGAGCCCGTTGGCGCCAAAGCCCCGACCTTTTCCCTCGAGTACAAGCTCATTGAGGTGGAGAGGTCAAGGGGCTCGGCCCTCGCTCTTCTCTGCCGGGCCCAAGCATTTCCAGTGCCCATCATCAGGTGAGCGCTTAGGCCAACGTTCAAAGCAGTTTTCATAGTCAAACGAGATTATAGGGAAATTTTATATACTAAAGCTAACGTTAAAAAACTTTTGCGGCTTGATTTAATTGTATAAACTTGTTTCGTTAAATATATAGAACCCATTGGTTCCAAAGCTCCCTCGGTGCCCACCGGTGTAATGGTCTTCCAGCAAGCTGTACCTTTGCATACCACTTTCGCCATGCTTTGCCAGGCTCAGGCATTTCCCGTCCCAGTTTTTAGGTAAACAATGGGAAATCTTAATTATTTATTTATTAGTTAGTCGATTTATAGTTGATCCTTGTAAGCCTTTGAATATTTAATAACTATATTCAATCTATCATTTAGAAAATGTTTATTAAGATGTTTCTGCCTCTCAATGCATTTAAGTGCGATAAAAACAAAATTCAAAATCAATAAAGCCCAATATTCAGCAGTCCTTCATTCGGTAAAAATATAAAACCGAAACCGAATAACTAATTCACTATTCAAACGGCTCAAAAAAGCGAAGTGGCTCTTACCTGCCAGGCCCAATCCTACCCTGTGCCTATATTTAGGTAATGAAATCCCTTTCCCTGTTAGGTTCCCCAACTGTCCAACTGGTTCTGTGTAGGACTTTCATATTATTAGCAAGATTAAGAATAAATACATTTTTATTTTAGAGCCCGTTGGTGCCAAGGCTCCGACCTTTTCGAGTGACTCCAAGGGCAGCATATTCGAGCGCTCGATTAGTGCCAGCTTTGCCCTGCTGTGCCAAGCTCAGGCCTTTCCCGTTCCCATCATTAGGCAAGTTTCAGGCATTACATACATAACACTCTGAATGCTTTCTAGAACCCATTGGGGCCAGGGCTCCCACATTCTCCTCCGACTACAACTCCTTTTCCTACGCCCGTGCTGAGGGTCAGAGTTTTGCTCTGCTGTGTCAGGCCCAGGCCTTCCCAGTGCCCATCATGAGGTTAGCTCTAAACACGAACTCTCTCTTCAGGCAGTTTTTTTAGCTTTCATTTAAATTAGCTTAAATACTAGGATAAAGTGTAAATGTTTGATTACAGAACCCATTGGTGCTAGAGCTCCCACCTTCTCCACCGATTCTAATTCGTTTTCGTACACCCGTCCTGTGGGTCAGAGCTTTGCGCTACTCTGCCAGGCTCAGGCGTATCCAGTCCCAATCATGAGGTTAGGAAACTTTACCTCCATTCAGGCAGTTTTCTTACACTCAACTTCACATATACAATTATTTACAGAACCCATTGGCGCTAGGGCCCCCACATTTTCAACAGATTCAAATATATTTTCCTATACAAGACCAGTGGGTCACAGCTTTGCTCTTCTGTGCCAGGCTCAAGCCTATCCGGTTCCGTTAATGAGGTAGTCTATTGGTCAATGAGCTAATCCCTGCAGGCAGTTTGACATTTGGTTCCTTGGGGGTCTTTTAAATATATTTTCTTTGACTTCCAGAGCCGGTAGGTGCCAAGGCTCCAACCTTTGCTAGTGTCTCAAAGATATCCAGTCTACTCGGCGCCAGTTCGAGTGATATTGTGTTGCTGTGTCAGGCTCAGGCATTTCCAGTTCCCTATGCAAGGTAAAGCTCAAAACGTCAGGCAGTTTACGGTATATCTTTATATTTTCCTAGAACCCGTCAGTGCCAAAGGCCCTACCTTTGCTTCCGATATGAAAAGCTATACTTTCGTACGACACTTTGGCCAGAGTTTTGCTTTGCTCTGTCAGGCGCAGGCCTATCCGATTCCCCTGATAAGGTAGTCATTAAATAGACTTAAGACGCATTCCACCCAGTCACCTTGTAAACCACATTCTTATATTTTTTAGAGCCAGTCGGCGCCAAAGCTCCCACCTTCTCTGGCGAGTCCAAGAGTTTTACATTTGTCAAAGAGATCTCGACTAGTTTTGCTCTGCTCTGTCAGGCGCAGGCATTTCCAGTACCCATCATAAGGTTAGTCGAATATTCAGGCAGTTTTCTAGGCACAGATTTTGAATGTAATGCTACAAAAGGGCCAACGGTTTACAGAGCCCGTCGGTAGTGTGGCCCCAAAAATATCCGGTGGTCGCCTGCAGGAAATGACAAGAGCGGCGACAACTGATTTGGCCGTCTTGTGCCTGGGACAATCTTTTCCCACACCAGCTTTTAGGTAATGTCAGGATCATCCTCAACATCCTCAACATTCAGGCAGCATATATACAATATTAAGTGAAGAGGCCTCATCGAACATCGATATCTTTCAGAGCCTATCGGCAGCGTAGCTCCCACAATATCGGGCGATCGCCTGCAGGAACAAACCCAGAAGTTGGGGCACAGTTTCTCCATTCTCTGCCAGGGACAAGCCTATCCTCATCCAGTGTTTAGGTAGATATAGTAGTATAACAATCCTTCAGGCAGTTCTCCCGACTGGGAAAGCAAGTCCCTGATTTTTCTAACCCCCATTGCAGAGCCCGTTGGCCTTGTCAAGCCCCGCATTTCCGTAAAGAGCATTGAGATCAACGAAGTGCCCTTGGGTGGCACCTTTGTTGGACATTGTCCCGGGCAGGGCTATCCAGTGCCGGTTTATAGGTAGAAGATTGCTAGATTCCCTCTCGTTAGGTTGCCGTCAGCTTACTTCCAAAACCCCCTAAAGTGGTGCACAGAATGAGCAAATGAATAAGTCAAAAAATTAATTAATATTCAGAGGTAAGTAGGCTCCATCGCCATGCCAGGCAAAGGTAAGTAGCTCAATGATTATAGAGATTCAATCTAATAGCTAAACTTGCTCACTCTGTGCCCACTGTCCCCAATGCCAACTTTGACTTTTAGAATTCCCGTTAACACTCTCCTCTCGTTCCAGATGGTACAAGTTCATCGAAGGCACTACCCGAAAGCAGGCAGTCGTTTTGAATGATCGCGTGAAACAGGTTTCCGGCACTCTCATCATCAAGGACGCCGTGGTTGAGGACTCCGGCAAGTACCTGTGCGTGGTCAACAACTCCGTGGGAGGCGAGAGCGTAGAGACCGTGCTCACCGTCACCGCCCCACTGTCCGCCAAGATCGATCCCCCCACTCAGACCGTTGACTTTGGACGACCCGCTGTATTCACCTGCCAGTACACCGGAAACCCCATCAAGACTGTTAGCTGGATGAAGGACGGCAAGGCCATTGGTCACAGCGAGCCAGTGCTCCGTATTGAATCCGTAAAGAAGGAGGATAAGGGCATGTATCAGTGCTTCGTAAGGAATGACCAGGAATCGGCGGAGGCCAGTGCTGAGCTGAAGCTCGGCGGCCGCTTCGATCCTCCCGTTATCCGACAGGCTTTCCAGGAAGAGACCATGGAGCCCGGACCAAGTGTGTTCCTCAAGTGCGTCGCCGGCGGCAACCCCACTCCGGAAATTTCATGGGAGCTCGATGGCAAGAAGATTGCCAATAACGATCGCTATCAGGTTGGACAGTATGTGACGGTCAACGGCGATGTGGTTTCCTATCTGAATATTACCTCGGTCCATGCCAACGATGGTGGCCTCTACAAGTGCATTGCCAAGAGCAAGGTGGGCGTGGCTGATCACTCTGCCAAGTTGAATGTCTACGGCCTGCCCTACATCCGACAAATGGAGAAGAAGGCCATCGTGGCTGGAGAGACCCTGATGGTGACCTGCCCAGTTGCCGGCTACCCTATTGATTCTATTGTCTGGGAGCGAGGTGAGTAACGAAAAGGAAAAGAGTTGGTCATTACCATACCTTGCCGTATATTTTCCTACCGCAGATAACCGTGCCCTGCCCATTAACCGCAAACAGAAGGTCTTCCCCAACGGAACGCTGATCATCGAGAACGTTGAGCGCAACTCTGATCAGGCGACCTACACATGCGTGGCCAAGAACCAGGAGGGATACTCCGCCCGCGGCTCTCTGGAAGTGCAAGTCATGGGTAAGTAAAAAATTCTAGCTCCTTCCCAGACTCCCCCATTTGAATGGGAGAGCTCTGGTCGATGCCACTCTTTTTGGGCGGGTCTTTAGGTTTCAGCTTCAACGTTGGTCGCTAGCTCCACTTTCAATCGATGAACTCGACCCAAAACTCTTCGCTCAGTTCCGCCACAGGTCGTGCCCTTCGATTTTGGGGAGGAGACCATCAACATGAACGATATGGTGTCGGCCACCTGCACGGTAAACAAGGGTGACACCCCTCTGGAGCTGTACTGGACAACAGCGCCTGATCCGACTACGGGAGTGGGCCGCCTGATGTCTAACGATGGCATCCTCATCACAAAGACCACGCAGCGCATAAGCATGCTCAGCATTGAGTCCGTACACGCTCGTCATCGGGCCAACTACACATGTGTGGCCAGGAATGCGGCTGGGGTCATTTACCACACGGCGGAGTTGCGGGTCAACGGTTCGCTCCTTCCTCTGTTCAATGTGCCTTCAGTCGTAGTTTGCTTAGACTTTGGTTTTTGAGTTCCGTTTCCTTGATACCGTCCCCTCCTCGCTCCCCTATGCAGTGTTGCCACAGATCGTGCCCTTCGATTTTGGCGAGGAGAGCGTCAATGAGCTGGACATGGTATCAGCTTCCTGTACGGTTAACAAGGGAGATCTGCCCATCGACGTGGCCTGGACAAAGAACGGCGGCCGCGTTTACACCAATGATGGGATAGTGGTGACCAAAACCAGCACTCGCATGAGTGTCCTGAGCATTGAGTCCGTAAGGGCCCGACACGCTGGCAACTACTCCTGTGTGGCCACCAACAATGCGGGCGAGACCCGGCACTGGGCCATCCTGGCCGTCAATGGTTACTAGCCCTCATTCGTTTCATTATCTTGGCCAAAGATTCTTGCTTTTGCTTTGCTTTCTGTTTTGTTAACCCAACCCCATCCCAGTCTTGCCCCAGGTCGTGCCCTTTGACTTTGGCGAGGAGTCCATCAACGAGTTGGACATGGTTTCGGCCTCTTGCACGGTTAACAAGGGTGATCTGCCCGTCGACATATATTGGACGAAGAACGGCGGGCGCGTTTACACCAACGACGGTCTGATTGTGACCAGGAACAGCCAGCGTCTGAGCGTCCTGAGCATCGAGTCCGTGAGGGCTCGGCATGCGGGAAACTACTCGTGCGTGGCCACCAACAATGCCGGGGCCATCACTCAGTCCGCCATGCTGGCAGTCAATGGTTATTGCTCATCGTACTTGAAGCTGTTCTCTTAAGTTTTGATTCCTTTTATTGCCTCCCGCTTTCCCTACCTCAACTATCCAGTCCTGCCCCAAATAATGCCCTTCGATTTCGGTGAGGATGTGATCAACGAGCTGGACATGGTGTCAGCCTATTGCACTGTCAACCGCGGAGATCTGCCCGTTGACATAGCCTGGACCAAGAACGGCGGCCGAGTGTACACCAACGATGGGCTGATAGTGACTCGGAATAGTCAACGCATCAGCGTTTTGAGCATCGAATCCGTAAGAGCTCGGCACGCGGGAAACTACTCCTGCGTGGCCACCAACAATGCCGGGGAGACAAGGCAATCCGCCATCCTGGCTGTGAATGGTTAATCGCTTAGGATTCCACCCATCGCTTTTATGTTTCTAAGATTTTCATTTGGTTTTTGTCCTGATTTCACTTCCTTGCCGCATAGTTCCTCCTTCGATTGCTCCCTTTTCCTTTGGCGATGATCCCGTGAATACTGGCGAGAATGCCGGGGTCCAGTGCATGGTACAGAAGGGGGATGTACCCATCACCATCAAGTGGACGCTCAATTCGCGACCGATCATCAATGGGGAGGAGGGAATCACCATTCTGAAGCTGTCTCCCAAGACGAGCGTCTTGAATATAGCCGCCGTCGAGCAGCATCATCGCGGGGTATTCAAGTGCATTGCCGAGAACAAGGCAGGATCTAGCTTCACCACATCGGAGCTGAAGGTCAACGGTACATGGCCACATTGATATCACTCAACGCACCTTAGCCTTTTTATTTTCAGTTATATTTTAATTTGTACATTTTCATTTTATTTAACCCTTTTGACACCTGCAGTGCCTCCCCAAGTATCGCCCTTCCATTTCGGGAGCGAAGTATTGAATATGGGCGATGTTTTGAGCATCACCTGTGTGGTCCTCAAGGGCGACTTGCCCCTGGAGATCCATTGGATTCTGAATGGTGAATCTGTGAAGACAGGTGTGGATGGATTCACGGTGATGCAGCTCAATGCGCGAACCAGCTATCTGAGTGTGGATTCTCTGGAGGCCAAGCACCGCGGCTCCTACAGCTGCGTGGCTAAGAACTTGGCGGGTCGAGCGATCTATTCCGCTGAGCTGCAAGTTAATGGTTGGTGGTCCTCTGGATAACACCTTTTGTGCCTCTCTGTAGCCCTCTTACTAACAATACCCTGGTTTATTTGGTCCTAAGGAGCTTTGTTGATCTTCTGAGACATAACGGTGTCCCCCCAATAGTTGCCCCACAGATCAGTCCCTTCTCATTTGGCGATGAGCCATTGAACCGCGGAGAGGTTGCGAGTGTGACTTGCGTGGTTCCAAAAGGCGACCTACCCCTAGACATCTATTGGACCCTGAACTCTGCTCTCATTGTAAATGGCGAACTGGGCTTCACACTGGTGCGTCTGAATAAGCGGACGAGTTCGCTGAACGTGGACTCCTTGGAGGCTCTGCATCGAGGCACTTACAAGTGTCTAGCAAACAATTCAGCGGGCTACGCCGAATACGTTTCCACACTAGATGTGAACGGTTTGTTCTGCTTCGTCTATAGTTTTGAAAGCTATTTTAGTTTGCAGTAATTATTTTGCCTTTAATTTTATTTTCCTCTACACCGTCTTTGTTTTTTCACAAAGTCTCCCCGCAAATCCAACCCTTTGACTTTGGTGTTGAGCCAGCAAATACTGGTGAAATGGCTGGTGGCTTCTGCATGGTGCCGAAGGGTGACCTTCCCATGGAGATTCGCTGGACTCTGAATTCAGCGCCAATAATAACTGGCGAGCACGGCTTTTCCCTGTCGCGCCTGAACCCGCGCACCAGCTCCCTGAGCATTGATTCCTTGGAAGCCAGACATCGCGGATTGTACAGGTGCATCGCGAGCAACAAGGCGGGCAGTGCAGAGTACAGTGCCGAGCTGCACGTGAATGGTCAATACACATATCATACTCATAGTTGATAGTTTCTTTCGTTATTATTTTCTGATTTTAATCGTTTGCCACTCACTCCCCATACTCCCACAAGTGCCGCCCCAGGTTCTGCCCTTTAGTTTCGGCGAATCCGCCGCTGATGTGGGCGACATAGCCAGTGCCAACTGTGTGGTACCCAAGGGGGATCTGCCCCTGGAGATTCGCTGGTCCCTCAATGCAGCTCTGATCGTGAATGGGGAGAATGGTTTCACCCTGGTGCGCCTGAACAAGCGCACGAGTCTGCTGAACATTGACTCCCTGAATGCCTTCCATCGCGGCGTCTACAAGTGCATAGCGACGAACGAGGCCGGCTCCAGTGAATACGTGGCCGAGTTGCAAGTCAATGGTTGGTTTTCCCTGAAGTATCTAAAACATCATAAGAGCACGCTTTAACTAGTTAACACTATTGATATTGTCTCCACTGAGTGTTGTTGCTGTCTAGTGTTGGAGCACGGAGCTATAACTGAGAAAAGTGTGATATTAAATAAAGTCAGCTTAGAGAAATAAATCCAAGCTACCCCAGTTGAGTTAAGGCCTAGAAATGCGCGAAATATATAAATTTTGTAAGAAAAGAATGAGTTAGAAATCTCCCCTGTTCGCATCTAGTTCCCCCTCAAGTCATGCCCTTCCTGTTCGGCGAGGAACCATCCAACTACGGCGATAGTACGGCGGTCCAGTGTATGGTCTTCAAGGGGGACACGCCACTCCAGCTGCACTGGACTCTCAACGGGCAGCCCATTACCAACGAACACGTCGGGATCCGGATCATCAAAATGTCGCCCAAGCTGAGTTCGCTGAGCATCGACGCCATCAGCGGCCACCACCGGGGGTTGTTCAAGTGCATTGCCACCAATGCGGCTGGGTTTACTGAGCAGAGCGCCGAGCTTCTGGTCAATGGTTAATATCAGATATTGTGATTTCAAGTTCTGTGTTGTTTTCTGTTTGTTTTTCCCGTTCCCTGTTCTCCAACCCAAACTAAAACTAGTGCCGCCTCAAATTCGACCCTTTGACTTTGGCGATGAGGCCTCAAACTCTGGCGAGACCATGGGCATTCAGTGCACCGTGATCAAAGGGGATCTGCCCATCAACATCACCTGGGCCCTTGATAATCGCATCCTGAACAGCGGGGACCTGGAAGTGGTCATCGGTCGCATGTCCAGCAAGTCGAGCACCCTAAACATCGACTATATAGCAGCCGAGCACCGCGGGGTCTACACCTGCCTCGCTCGCAATCAGGCGGGCGAGAGCAGCTACAGTGCCGAGCTGAAAGTCAACGGTTACTGCGCCCCTCGATCTCTTAATTAGTAGCTAAGACTTGTCTTGATTTATGTGATGCTTGATTTAAACAATACCTCCAACCCCCACCCATCCTAGTCCTGCCCAGCATACACCCCTTCAGCTTCGATGGGGAGGCCAATGAGGGCGACAGTGTTCAGTTGACATGCCACGTGGCCAAGGGCGATCTTCCGCTGAGAATCCGCTGGACCCACAACGGGCTGCCGCTCTTCACGCACCTAGGCGTGATGGCCAGCAAGATCGGGGAGAGGATTACCATGCTCACGGTGGAGTCGGTCAAGGCGGCCAATTCTGGAAACTACAGCTGCGTAGCCAGCAACAGTGCGGGCAACGTGACCTCCACCGCTGAGCTGCTCGTCAATGGTTACTGACCCAACTCCGTAGACCTATCATACGTTACTGTTTTGTTGATTGAGATTATTTGACACCCAGCCCAATCCCTAATCACTTCCCAGTTCTGCCCCAAATTGTGCCCTTCGCCTACGAGGACGTGATCAACATGGGCGACTCGATCGACCTGTTCTGCCAAATCCAGAAGGGCGACCGCCCCGTCAAGGTTACCTGGAGCTTCGAACGTAGCGCCGGGGACTCCGGCTTCGAGCAGCTGCAGCCGCAGATGCGCACGAATCGCATTAGCGGGAAGACGAGCATGCTTTCCATCCCCAGTGCCAGTCCGGCCCACACGGGCCGCTACTCCTGCATAGCCAGCAATGCGGCCGGAACGACCACCTATGGCGTCGATCTGACAGTAAACGGTACTTGAACGGATCGCCTCATGGTGGCTAGTCTCTAATGGTTGCGGTTCCCTTCTTGAAAGTCTTGACAGTATGCGTTGCTACTAATCAAACCCATCTCTCTAACCCCATCCTTCTAACTGAGCTTGTGTGATTTACTGCGGACTGTTCTTGCACATTGGACTTACCGATTTGGTCTTTCTTTCTGCCCCAAAGTCGCCCCCAAGATAGCTTCCTTTGACTTTGGGGAGGAGCCCCTGAACTACGGAGAACCTGCGTCCGTGCAGTGCACCATTTTGGGTGGTGACCTTCCCATAAACGTTACCTGGTTGCTGAACAATGCCACCATCGATAGCTTTCACGATATATCTTTCTCACGGATCGGCAAGCGGATTAACGTGCTCTCCATCGAGTCTGTGTCCGCTCACCACGCCGGGTTTTACTCGTGCCACGCTCAAAACAAGGCGGGCGTCACGGCGCACACAGCTCAACTGATTGTCAACGGTTAGCCGGAGGGAGGAAGTCATAATTAGATATAAGTTGAACATTTTTAATTTATTTTGATTCATTTTGAACACCCTTTTAAACACCTTAGTTCTGCCAAAAATAAGTCCCTTCTCCTTTGGCGAGGAGTCCATGAGTTACGGCGAGTTTGTGAATGTTCAGTGCACAATATCGGGGGGAGACCTTCCCGTCAACATTACCTGGACCCTGAACGACCGGCCTTTTGAGGACTACCTAGAGATTCTGACCACCAAGCGCGGAAAGCGCATCAACGAACTGACTATCGAGGCGGTGTCGGCCAAGCATGTTGGGAACTACTCCTGCATAGCCGAGAATAGAGCCGGTCGTGCCAACCACACGGCCGAGCTGAAAGTGAACGGTTAATGCCCTCTTTTAAGTAGCAAGTTGATTAATTTTTGTTGTCTTTTTGTTTTCTCCTCCGCCCCAAACAAACACGTACAATCCCTAAAATAGTTGCTCCCAAAATAGCTCCGTTTGATTTCGGAGACGAACCCTCAAACTTCGGTGAATCGGCCAGCGTTCAGTGTCTGGTCACTTCGGGCGACTTTCCCGTCAGCTTTGCCTGGTTCTTCAATGGACGCGAGATCAGTGAGAATGTCTACGATGTGTCCATGGTTAAGTTGGGCAAGAAGATCAGCGCACTGTCCATAGATTTTGTCCGCGATCACCACGCGGGGAACTACACCTGTGTGGCTGTTAATAGAGCTACCTCTGTCAACCTTACGGCCGAGCTAGTTGTGAACGGTACTGTGGCTGTATTGTAGCCTCGATGCATGCAATTTCTGATTAAGGGCGAGCTGGGTTTGATTTTCAGTTTTGTTTTTTACTTGTCCACTTTCCTTTTACCTTTTCCCGACCAAGTGCCCCCGAAAATCGCCCCCTTTGACTTTGGCGATCACGCCGTAAACTTTGAGGAGTCCGTCTCGGTGAACTGCCTCATCTACCTGGGCGACCTGCCCATGGATATTACCTGGCTGTTCAACGGGGCCCACGTCAGCGCCTATACTGGAGTGTCCATAGTTAAGGGTGGTAAGAAGGCGAGCATCCTGACTATAGATTCGGTGCACGCAGGACACGCAGGAAACTACACGTGCAAGGCGCGCAATGACGCTGCCTCTGCGGAGTATACGGCCGCGCTGGTTGTGAATGGTATCGGAATCGAATTTCTGTTCCCGATTTAGGAGAGATTTGTTTTGCATTATGATTTCAATTCCTGATTTTATCCCCTACCCCCACGCAGCCCCTTCGAAAATAGCGCCCTTCGATTTTGGCCAGGCCCCTTCAAATTTTGAAGACTCCGTTTCGGTCAACTGTCTGGTCACCTCCGGTGATCTGCCAATCGATATTGAGTGGTTGTTTAGAGGGGAGGCCATCAACTTTTCCACGGGCATTGCGGTCCTGCGCGGAGGCAAACGGACCAGCCTGCTGACCATCGATTCCGTGCACGCGGGACACGCCGGAAACTACTCCTGCAAGGCGAGGAACAAGGCGGCCAGCAGCGAGTACTCAGCGGCCCTGGTTGTGAATGGTTGGCGGGGAGCATCAAGTTATTTTAACTCATAGTTTTCCCTGATGTCTTAAGTATTATTTATTCCCACCCCTTCCTCGAAGCTCCACCAAAAATCACACCCTTCAGCTTTGGCGAGGAGCCGGCCAATGTGGAGGACTCCGTGTCGGTGACCTGTCTCATCTCCACTGGGGACCTGCCCATCGATATAGAATGGTTATTTAACGACTTTGGAATTAGCTCCTATTCGGGAATATCGGTTATGAAAGGTGGCAAGCGGAATAGTGTGTTGAGCATCGACAGTGTCCAGGCTCGACATGCGGGAATGTATAGTTGTCGCGCAAAGAATCACGCTGCCGCTGTGAACTACACCACCGAGTTAATCGTGAATGGTATTACGTTATTCAAGTCTAGCTATATCAGTTCAAGTGATTTATTTTAGTTAATTTGTTATATCTTTGGTTGTATCTATCCCCAAAAGTTGCCCCGAAGATTACGCCCTTTGATTTTGGAGATGAGCCCACCAATGTTGAGGATTCCGTCTCGGTTACTTGTCTCATATCCAGCGGAGACTTACCCATCGATATTGAGTGGTTGTTTAACGATTTCGGTATCAGTTCCTACTCCGGCATCACTGTTGTAAAGGGCGGCAAACGGAGCAGTGTGTTGGGCATCGACAATGTCCAGGCTCGTCATGCGGGAAAGTACAGCTGTCGGGCCAAGAATCACGCGGCTGCCGTGAACTACACCACCGATCTAGTAGTGAATGGTATTTTCAGCTAGCTTTAAGTAGTCTAAATAGATACCTTCTGAGTTACATTTCCATTTTAATAAGTCATATTCCTTTAAGTCCCTCCCAAAATCACACCCTTTACCTTCGGCGAGGATCCCACGAATGTGGAGGACTCTGTGTCGGTCACCTGTTTAATATCAAGCGGAGACCTGCCCATTGATATAGAATGGTTGTTCAATGACTACGGAATCAGTTCCTATTCAGGAATGACTGTTCTGCGAGGCGGCAAGCGTACCAGTATGTTGACTATTGACAATGTCCATGCTCGTCATGCGGGGAAATATAGTTGTCGGGCCAAGAATCACGCTGCCGCTGTTAATTACACCACAGAACTGATTGTGAATGGTATAGAAGAAGATAATTTTTGGTTGAACTAGAATAATATGTTTAAATTATGTTCTTCAGTTAAAAGTTTTGCACTTATTTATGTCGTTATTTTGTTACTACCAAAGTCCCCCCAAAGATTACTCCCTTTGACTTTGGCGAGGAGCCCACAAACGTTGAGGACTCCGTCTCGGTGACCTGCCTCATTTCCAGCGGAGACTTGCCTATAGACATAGAGTGGTTATTCAACGATTTCGGCATTAGTTCCTTCTCCGGGATGACTGTTTACAGAGGAGGAAAGAGAACAAGCATGCTCACAATCGATAACGTCCATGCTCGCCATGCGGGGAAATATAGTTGTCGGGCCAAAAATCACGCAGCTGCTGTGAACTATACAACTGAGTTGATAGTGAATGGTATATCCAATGCATTAGTTTAGATAGTTTTATTTACATATATAGTATTTTATATTTTGTTAATTGAAGTTACTTTTCCCCTATTACATTACCACCAACCCCCTGTTAAAGCCCCGCCGAAACTAGCGCCATTCGATTTTGGGGAATCCCCTGCCAATTTCGAGGATTCGGTTTCCGTGAGCTGCCTCGTGTCCTCTGGCGATTCGCCCATCGACATTGAGTGGCTCTTTAACGGTGACCCCATTAACTACGCCTCTGGAATTGCGGTGTTGAGAGGGGGCAAGCGGACAAGTGTGCTTACGATAGACTCGGTTCATGCCGGACACGCGGGAAACTACAGCTGCAAGGCCAAGAACAAGGCTGCCAGCAGCGAGTACTCTGCAGCCCTGATCGTGAACGGTTGTTACATATTTTAGTGGTAGCCTTAAGTTTCTATTTCCATTTTGAGTTAAGTTAAACACCCTCTTCCACTTGTAAATCCAAGTACCTCCCAAGATAACCCCCTTCGACTTTGGTGACGTTCCGGCAAATGTGGAGGACTCAGTGTCGGTCATGTGCCTCATATCCAACGGTGATCTACCCATCGACATCGAGTGGTTCTTCAATTCCTACGGAATCAGCTCCTACTCGGGTATTAATGTGATAAAGGGCGGAAAGAGGAACAGTATGCTGAGCATCGACAGTGTCCAGGCCCGGCATGCGGGAAAGTACAGTTGCCGGGCCAAGAATCACGCTGCAGCCGTTAATTACACAAGCGAGTTGGTTGTGAATGGTACAACTAATAATTGTGAAGACATTCCAGTCTAGTCTTTAAGGATTTCCCTTATTATTTCTTCTCATTATTTATTAATCACTACCTTCACTCCAAAGCGCCTCCAAAAATCACACCCTTTGACTTTGGAGACGAGCCCACGAACGTTGAGGATTCCGTTTCGGTGACTTGTTTAATCTCCAGCGGAGACATGCCCATCGATATTGAATGGTACTTTAATGGCTACGGAATCAGTTCCTACTCGGGTATAAATGTGGTAAAGGGCGGCAAGCGGAACAGTATGCTGAGCATCGATAGTGTCCAGGCCCGTCACGCGGGAAAGTACAGTTGTCGGGCGAAGAACCACGCTGCTGCTGTGAACTACACCACCGAGCTGATAGTTAATGGTACCTTTGGGGGCTCTATCCAAACAACCTGTAATATTTGCGTATGACTTATTATTTTGTACAGTTTTTTGTTCAGAATCCCCTGCTAATTGAAACTTCCCTATTCGTTTTACAAGTTGCCCCCAAGATAGCGCACTTTGATTTCGGCGAGATGGCGGCAAACTTTGAGGATTCGGTGTCCGTGAACTGCCTGGTCAGTTCCGGCGACCTGCCGCTCGACATTGAGTGGCTTTTTAACGACTACCCCCTCAACCACTACTCGGGCATATCCACCTCAAAGATGGGCAAGCGCTTGAGTGTGCTAATGATCGATGCCGTGAGTGCCCGCCACGTGGGCAACTACACATGCAAGGCCCGGAATCTGTGGGCCTCGGCTGTTTACACGGCGGAGTTGATAGTGAATGGTACACTCCTCGCGGAGCCAGAGCATTTGTACAGCACCTGAGTGTCGTTCTGATTTAGTTAGTTTCATATTTGTGACCCCCACTTTCCTCTGTTTGTATCTCCTATAAATACAACCCTCGCTTACACAAATTGCATGTTCGCTTTGGCTTCTGTGTATTGGCTTTTGTAGCGCAGTTTTAAGACGAAGTATATATAAATACTATATTTGAATAGGTGGACAGTCTTATAAATCCTTCTGGGAGAACCACAAAAAAGCTTTGTTATCACTTTGTCCTAACTCTCTTTTAATATTCTCCCAAGTACCACCCCACATTAGCCCCTTTGAGTTTGGGGATGAACCTGCCAACTTTGGTGATTCAGTGACCGTGCAGTGCACCATTTCCAAGGGGGATCAGCCAGTGGACATAACCTGGCTTTTTAATGACTATCCCATAAACGAGTACCACGGAGTCACCACATCTAAGATCGGAAAGAAGGTGAATGTCCTGACCATTGATTCGGTGAACGGCAACAATGCGGGAAACTACACGTGCCGGGCCAGGAACAAGGCCCAAATGGTGGAGTACACTGCTGCTCTGGTTGTCAACGGTGGGACAGAGATCCTCTAAATATGCCCTTGCCTTAAAGTAGTTAGATCATCATCCATGTATGATTTTGTTATTATTTGTTCGTTTGTTATTCTTTGAACTGATTGTTTGCGTTTGTGTTTTCCGCAAGTCTTGCCCCAAATAACGCCCTTTGCCACCGGCGCCCAGCCCACCCATCTGGGCCAATACATAACCTACCAGTGCACCCTGACGGAGGGAGATTTGCCCTTGAACATCCGCTGGACGTTCAACAATCAGCCGCTCTTTAACGACGACGACCAGGACATTCTCATAGCCAAGATGGGTCGGCGGAGCAGTGTTCTGACTATTGAGAGCGTGGCGGCCCGACACGCGGGCAACTACAGTTGCCACGGGGAAAACAGAGCCGGGAGGGCGTCCTACAGCACCCAGCTGCGAGTTATAGGTCCTCAGCGGGCTTAGTCTTAGACGGCACATTTCCCCATCCATTGATTACTGTTTAATTTCGTGCACCTTTTGTTTTACCATTCCCACCACCGATAACACATCCATCCAGTTCTGCCGCGCATCATTCCCTTCGCCTTCGAGGAGGGCCCTGCCCAGGTGGGTCAGTACCTGACGCTTCACTGCTCGGTGCCCGGAGGGGATCTGCCCCTGCAAATCGACTGGACGCTGGATGGTCAGGAGATCTCTGAGGACCTGGGCATCACTACGGCCCGAGTGGGCCGCCGTGGAAGTGTGCTGACCATCGAGGCCGTTGAGGCCACCCATGCGGGAAATTTCACCTGCCACGCCCGCAATTCGGCGGGTCATCAACACTTTACGACGCCGCTGAACGTCTACGGTTAGGCATTTCCCGGGAGCGGGTCGCTCTTGTAGTTCTTTGTGGTCGCCTACTAACCCCAGCGTCTGCAACAAAGTCGCTGCATGACCTTCTGTACTTCTATGTCTCTGCTGCTGTCCTGACTTTCCCATCTCTGTCTTCGACCTAATTGGACCCTTCACTTTCTCTTAGTATGGCCTGAAGCACACCCACTCACAAAAGCTTGCATGTACGACACTCGGACGCCAATGAACTAAACTGTACTGATTAGGGGTCTTCAATAAACTAGCTTACTTTATCAGAAAGTAAAAGTCTGGAAAAGAAAAAAAGGGATATCACTTGGTTTGCCTTTAGATATTAATTAGCCTTCCATCTAAATGATTCAACTTTATTCTCACCTCGAGCTATAGAGTCTCCCAATGAAGATCATTATGTTTTAAGTTTAATTTTTATTTTTCCTTTCATTGCTTAAAACCTGACTGAAGTGCCTCCCAAGTTGGCACCTTTGCCCGTCAATTCGCCCCTGTACGTGGGCGACTATTACCAACTGACCTGCGCTGTGGTGCACGGCGACGCGCCCTTCAACATCACCTGGTACTACAACGGCGAGTCAGCCGGAGACCTGCCGGGTGTGACAATCCTGATGCATGGCAAGCGCAGCAGCTCTCTGAACATCGAGAACGTAGCCGGTGATCATGCGGGCACCTACTCCTGCAAGGGCGCCAACAGGGCGGGTGAAACTACGGCAGAGACCCACCTGAGTATCAAGGGTTTGTTTGATATAATCCTAAGAATCTTTCCCCGGAGATGGCTCCTAGATGTAGACTGACACCAATATAGAAAGAAGCTTCTAGAGATCATTCGGCCAGGCCACCCCAGCAATCTGTAAATCCCCACCCTTTGTCTGTGTCCTTGTGTCTGGTGTTGGAACTGCATAAGCACGAACTTGTATTATAAAACACTTCTGGGGGCATCCCCTTCTCCCTGCTGTATATTGTGTTTAATCATTGCACGGCTTTTTCGTCAACCAATCTCAGAGCTACCCCAGATCGAGCAGTTCCACTTCAACGCGAACGGGGTCAACGGAGGCCAGGCCGTTCGCGTCATGTGCATGGTCACTTCCGGGGACCTGCCCATAGACATCTACTGGCTGAAGGACGGTCAGCCACTGCTGCGCTCCATCTACCACAAAATCGACGAGTACACTCTAATCCTGTCGCTGCGTCAGAGCACGATCGGCGACTCCGGCAACTATACGTGTGTGGCCAGCAACGCGGCGGGCTTGGCCAGTCGCTCATCCACGCTTAAAGTGAAGGGTACTGTCTGCCGGGCATACCTAGCTTGCACCGTGTGTGATTTTCATTTTGTTTGTATAATGCTTTCCTTCCTAGATTCCCACCTAGAGGTCATATGGACTTTACCTAGCTCATGCCCATAAGGGGGAAAAACATATTAATAATTTTATTGAATATAACTTTGTCGTTTGGGCAAATGTATAATATTATTTTAAGAAGAGATTAATTTAAAATTTGTAAAATATGACTGTAACAAAATGTCCTTCACTGATTTCAAACTAAAAAAGAACCGCCTGTGCTCGCTCCGCTCCTCCTGTCCGCTTCCGTTTGTGACGTGGGCGACTACGTGCAACTCACGTGCATCGCCAGCCGCGGAGCCACGCCCATCCAATTCGAGTGGTGGCTCGGAAGGCGGCAGGTGCACGACGATGGAGACGATGACGTGACACAGGCGACAGTGGGCGAGCACACGAGCCTGCTGTTGATGCAGCGGGTGAGGGAGGGACAGGCGGGGAACTACAGTTGCCGGGCGAGCAACCAGGTGGGAGTGGCAGAGCGCCGGGCCAGCCTGACTGTGAACGGTAATTGCAGCTGCTGGGACATTCGCAGCCGTTTGCTAAGCTCCATCTATCTCGCTTTCATTTACTCCGGCAGCAGACAGTCCAGTTTTCTTGACTCCTTTGACTCTTTTGATACTCCGCTCCGTAGGCCCAACGAGCTCGATTGCGGCCTCTTTTAACTCGGATTTTACTCGTGTCTCCACTGTATAATTGCGCACTGAACTCTGCAAGTAAACCTTTGTCGACATCGGACGAAGTCGGTTAAGATCCAATCAAGGTCTACAGTCCATGTTAAACTTTTTCGACCCCAAACAGCTCAGATCTGACTCTGCACTCATACATGCACAGCTACACCCGCACACATAGCACACTATCAAGCCCTGTCAGGGACATGACTCACAGCCCGATTAATTCAGCTCCTTCTGGGTTTTTGTACATTGCATACTCCTAGTTTAGTCACACACGGCTCATGCTCCAACACCGAATAAACCAGCCAACAACAACAGCAAGATCTATAACCATAATCGCTTCTCACTGTCTATTTAACCGAAACTAAACCTAAACGTAACTAAGGAACTCAGTCCTTCCTCAACAAGACTGAGGGTGTGCGCTTCTATAAACGTAAACCGCGATCAGTCTAGCCTGTCCATCCCAAGAACATCCCCAAGAACATCCCCACGAATCCTCTTCCAACTCCCCTTAAATTAACTTTCATTTCATTAATCATTATTTACTTAGTGTGTAAGACACAATACGAAAGACAATATAAATTAATATGATGCGTTATTTGGTATACTGGAATTTACAATTTTGCTTGCACATAGTGTGTTACGCATCTTATTTACTTATATTGTCTCAGACGAAACGAAGTCTGTTTGTTGAATAAAAACTATATATATGCGAGATACCGCTGTCAAACAGATCTTCGTTTTGCACTAATTGCATGTATATTTAACCTTTAGTTTGTTCTAATTGAGTTTCATTAAAGTCCACCTTTTATTTGTCCTTTTAACATTTGGTTATTTGTGCTAAAACTTTATTTGTAGTTTGGACTTTTAAGTTCAGCTTGAACGTAAGAGAGTGAATGGAAATATAATTGATATAACTTTATGACTGCAGACATAAAATGCATTTACGGCGCAATTTCAAAAATATTTCCAGACACTAGAAGCAAATGGAAGTGATTTCTATTCTTAAACTAATCTTCAATCAATGAAAAGCCATTAAAGATTCTTATAGCGAACAATTCACCAAACAAAACTTCACTTTGCTTCATCCTAGTCCGTCCATCCGTTTCTTCTAAAAATCTCCACCATATTGCATGCATATCAAAGATTTAGCTAAGGAATCCTGTCAGCTTCACTAACATATTATTTTTCTACACCCGCCAAATCAACACACACCAACAGTACCGCCCAGATGGATTCTCGAACCCACCGACAAGGCCTTTGCCCAGGGCTCCGACGCAAAGGTTGAGTGCAAGGCTGACGGCTTCCCCAAGCCCCAGGTCACATGGAAGAAAGCAGTTGGTAAGCAGAAACCCTTATATAACCTCTTCAAAAAGAAATTCATATCAATTCTCTTCCCAGGCGATACCCCCGGAGAGTACAAGGATCTTAAGAAGAGCGACAATATTCGCGTCGAGGAGGGCACTCTGCACATCGACAACATCCAGAAGACCAACGAAGGCTACTACCTGTGCGAGGCTATCAATGGTATCGGTTCCGGATTGTCGGCAGTCATCATGATCAGCGTTCAGGCCCCGCCAGAGTTCACCGAGAAGCTGCGCAACCAGACCGCCCGACGAGGAGAGCCCGCCGTGCTGCAATGCGAGGCGAAGGGCGAGAAGCCCATTGGCATTTTGTGGAACATGAACAACATGCGTCTGGACCCCAAGAACGACAACCGTTACACCATTCGCGAGGAGATCCTTTCCACTGGAGTTATGTCTAGTCTGTCTATCAAACGCACCGAAAGATCCGACTCCGCCTTGTTCACCTGTGTGGCCACCAATGCCTTTGGGTCCGACGATGCCAGCATAAATATGATTGTCCAGGAAGTGCCCGAGATGCCCTACGCCCTGAAGGTGCTCGACAAGTCCGGACGCTCCGTGCAACTGAGCTGGGCGCAACCCTACGATGGCAACTCTCCCCTGGACCGCTACATTATCGAGTTTAAGCGCTCCCGCGCTTCCTGGACCGAGATTGACCGCGTCATCGTGCCCGGACACACTACCGAAGCTCAGGTGCAGAAGCTAAGTCCCGCCACCACCTACAACATTCGCATCGTGGCCGAGAACGCCATCGGCACCTCGCAGTCCTCCGAAGCGGTCACTATCATCACAGCTGAAGAGGCGCCCTCCGGCAAGCCGCAGAACATCAAGGTTGAGCCCGTGAACCAGACCACCATGCGCGTCACCTGGAAGCCCCCAGCACGCACCGAATGGAACGGCGAGATCCTGGGCTACTACGTCGGCTACAAACTCTCCAACACCAACTCGTCGTATGTCTTTGAAACCATTAACTTCATCACTGAGGAGGGCAAGGAGCACAACCTGGAGCTGCAGAACCTGCGAGTGTACACCCAGTACTCGGTGGTGATCCAGGCCTTCAACAAGATCGGAGCTGGACCTTTGAGCGAGGAGGAAAAGCAGTTCACCGCCGAAGGAACTCCCAGCCAACCGCCCAGCGACACTGCCTGCACAACTCTGACCTCCCAGACCATTCGTGTCAGCTGGGTGAGCCCACCCCTAGAGTCTGCTAACGGAGTGATCAAGACCTACAAGGTCGTATACGCCCCCAGCGACGAGTGGTATGGTAAGTATAGCAGGATATTCATAGAATCCCTACAAATTCTTACAAGTTGAAATAATTGTATTACTCTTTTAGATGAGACCAAGCGTCACTACAAAAAGACTGCCTCCTCCGACACCGTTCTCCATGGCCTGAAGAAGTACACTAACTACACGATGCAAGTGCTGGCCACCACAGCCGGAGGCGATGGAGTCCGCAGCGTACCCATCCACTGCCAAACCGAACCCGATGGTGAGTCGAATGCAGCTTATTATTCAAAATTTATTGAGTTTCTAATCGCCTTCCATTCGCAGTTCCCGAAGCACCCACCGATGTCAAGGCCCTGGTAATGGGCAATGCCGCCATTCTGGTCTCCTGGAGGCCTCCAGCACAGCCCAACGGCATCATCACCCAGTATACCGTATACTCGAAGGCCGAAGGAGCCGAGACCGAGACAAAGACACAGAAGGTGCCACACTACCAGATGAGCTTCGAGGCCACCGAACTGGAGAAGAACAAGCCCTACGAGTTCTGGGTGACTGCCAGCACCACCATCGGCGAGGGACAGCAGTCTAAGAGTATTGTGGCCATGCCCAGCGACCAGGTGCCCGCCAAGATCGCCTCCTTCGACGACACCTTCACCGCTACCTTTAAGGAGGACGCCAAGATGCCATGCCTGGCCGTAGGAGCTCCACAACCGGAAATTACCTGGAAGATCAAGGGCGTGGAATTCACTGCCAACGATCGTATGCGTCTTCTGCCCGATGGATCTCTGCTGATCAAGTCTGTGAATCGCCAGGATGCCGGGGACTACTCCTGCCACGCCGAAAACTCGATAGCCAAGGACTCGATCACACACAAGCTCATTGTGTTAGCCCCGCCCCAGTCGCCCCACGTGACCCTCTCGGCCACCACCACCGATGCCCTGACCGTCAAGCTGAAGCCCCATGAAGGAGACACTGCCCCCCTGCACGGATACACCCTGCACTACAAGCCAGGTAAATCGCAGAGAGGAACCAGGATTTCAATATCTCAATCTTAAAATCCTTTTACAGAATTTGGCGAATGGGAGACGGCCGAGGTGTCCGTTGACTCGCAGAAACACAATATTGAGAGTCTGCTGTGCGGCTCCCGCTATCAGGTCTATGCCACAGGATTCAACAAGTTAGTCTCACCATACGCCCAGTTATCCCCGTTCACAGCTAATATTTTTTGTACTATTTCAGCATTGGCGCCGGCGAAGCTTCTGATATTCTGAACACCCGCACCAAGGGCCAGAAGCCCAAGCTCCCCGAAAAGCCGCGCTTCATTGAGGTCTCTTCCAACTCCGTGTCGCTGCACTTCAAGGCCTGGAAAGATGGCGGCTGCCCCATGTCCCACTTTGTGGTAGAGAGCAAGAAACGGTAGATCATTGATTTCCCCCATCATTCTTTCACTGACTTTATTCGCCTCCTTTTAGTGACCAAATCGAGTGGAACCAGATCTCCAACAATGTGAAGCCCGACAACAACTATGTGGTCTTGGACCTGGAACCCGCCACCTGGTACAATCTTCGAATCACCGCCCACAACTCGGCTGGCTTCACCGTGGCCGAGTACGACTTTGCCACTCTGACCGTCACCGGAGGTATTTATGATCTGTTCTCCGATTCCCACACGAATTCCGCATTGCTTTTGTACATAGAGTACTCTACGTTGACAGTGTGGGGCCCTGATCCCGAAAGCCCCGCTCCAAGTGGCAGCCCAAAAGCCCAGACACAGGGCCGGGCTGTCAGTTGGAGCAGTGGGGGGTCTGGATCCCGAGGCACTGTCCATATACAAATAACAAGATGAGAAGCACCCAGCTGTATACTGTTGTACACATCAATTTCCTGAGTTCATTTTGCCTTTTTACAATCACTGAACAAAATTAAAAAAAACATGAGCAAATTTTGCATTTGATTTTCAATGTGACAAAATCGCACAGCCCTTAGTTGTTATTTTCAGTTACCCATACAACAAGCTTGTCGAAATAGTCGCCTTAGTTCAATTATCTTTTATTTGGTTATTGTAAAGAGCTTTTTGCTTTCATTTCGATTATTCAACTGCCAGAACTCCGAACGCAGAAGCACCCGACTAGTGTAAAATAGTGATCATTTTCCTTACGTAAATGCAATTTGTTTCCTTCCGTTTTTACCAACAATCCCAACAAAGAGCTGAAGCAACGTATATAAAGTTATGTACATAACAAAATAGTTTTCCAACTCACCAACCGCAACGTTTTTAGTTTATTTTATGTTTTACTAGACCCAAGCATTCGTAGTGCTCTAGATCACAGTATGAACAATATAATAATAAGATGAGTTACGCATCTTATTGTAATATTAGTTTTGGTATACATATCTATTTTATTTTACTTTCCATTGATCTTTGTTTTCTGCATTTCTGTGCCCAGTTTGTGAAAGAGATTATGTACAAAATACATCCGATATGAAAAGAGGATAATGAATGAGCTTGAACTGGCTATCCTCATTACGTATACGCAATAAATGTTGTTGTACCTGCCGATCCATTCCCCAATCTACAGATTGTAAAGAACTCTAATAGATGTATCTCCCAGCTAACTTTCAGTCACTGAAGGCGACCCTAGGCTTTGAAGTTCGGGTTCCAATTGCACAACTGGCCACAGAATCGATTCAATATCACCCGTTAAGGATTTAGTTATAATTTAGCGAATTACTTTGATTTTGATTTGATTACAAATAGCAAAATGCTCATCTAACGAAACTATGAAAAGACAAATGGGAAACTCAGTCCAGAGAATCGAGCAGAGCCACCACCACAAGTATTGCAAAACCAAGCACAACAACCAAAGATACTTCATCCATTACCTCCGGGAGTCCGGGCCAGAGAGTCTGATCTGAGAGAGTTGATTTCCTAAACCTATATACATACCTATGGATCGTCTTTTGCCAATCACAACAGTCACACGCAGACATTTTGTTTTGGGTTTTTGCCATTTCGATTCGTTTAAGTTATAGTTATGTCAAGTTATAGTTGAGTTCCGCCTAAGTTAGTTGGTTTATTTCGAGGAGAGTTCTCTCGTTCTTGGAATGTTGTTCAATGCCGCCACGTTTTGTGCGGCTCTAGCGTTTTAACATACATACATCATACTACTACTTAGCTCTAAGCGGATTACAAACAAATTGCATTTTAACGTATTTAAAATAAACTCTTTTTTATATCATTACGACTTTTTCAATAGTTTAACTAGTTCTCATATAAACCTAATCACAGTTTTATGCGTGCTTCAAGTTCTGCGCAATGTAAAATAATCGAAAACCATAAAACGTACAAATAATTTATATATACTTCTCTACGACGACGCATATCGGGCGGTTGACCTTTGAGCTCTTTCACCTGCCATAGTCTGTATTTGTATATGTATGTGTTGAGTCTATGTGTCTGGTACAAAAGCAGAGGTCAAAGGGCACAACTGATTTTATCTCTCTCTCTCTCTCTCTCTCTCTCTCTCTCTCTCTATCTCTCTCTGTGTGTCTCTGTCTGTATTTCTTTCACTGACCTGCAAAAAACACACCCTTTGGTTGTTGTTGTATTTGTTGTTGCAGGCACTATCGCACCCTCGCGAGATTTACCCGAATTAAGCGCCGAGGACACGATCCGCATTATCCTCTCGAACCTAAATTTAGTTGTGCCCGTCGTGGCGGCTCTGCTCGTCATAATCATAGCGATAATTGTTATTTGTATACTGCGTAGCAAGGGCAATCACCACAAAGGTATCTATGCTGATCACTAATTAAGAAATTCGTTCTTTTTTCGGTTTCTCTCTATTTCTCTCTAAAAAACCAAAATACCCCTGACCAACCCACCCACACACACACACCCGACACCACGACACTTGCGCTTTTGCCATGAACTATTTGCTCGAACTGCCTGCCTCGCATCCACATTGTTGTTGTCCATGTTGACCCCATCCCCCTTACGATTGCATGTGCAAATCCGGTTTGTATGTCCCCGTGTCAAATCGATCTTGGCCAAAAGGAACCATCGCGCCCCTGGATGACGGCACGGGCCACGGGAACGTGCATACCCGGATCCGACTGCCCGCCTGGATGCCCGAGTGGCTTGACCTGAACTTCATGGTGCCTCTGATAGCCACCGTCGTGGTGGTGGCGGTGGGCATCTGCGTGGTGTGCGTGGCCCTGTCCCGAAGGAGAGCAGACGACATGCGCGGCGGCCAGAAGGATGTGTACTGTAGGTTCTCCCCCTAGGGGATACCCCCGGCTGCGCATCGTGTCCCTCTTATGCATCTTGATCTTAATAATCCATTTGACGCTGACCTCAGAGCCTAGCTCAATGTCTTATTTCTGTTTTATTTATTTGTTGGCTAAATGTTGGTCGTAGGAGTAATTGCAATGAAAGCTTACATATTTTGGGTTGCAATAATTACATTTAAAATTATACAAATTAACGAAAAAAAATGCCTTTGAAAGGTTGCATACATTGCCAAATGTTTGAACTTCAAAATGAGACGAGTACCAACCTGGTAAATTCGAATTATTGAAATTATATACAGAAGACCATAAAGCATATTTATTACATGATCTTTCCTATAAATCAGTCGTAAAATCAATCGTGTTCAAAATTAAATTTATGAAGCTATAACTTTTCCTTATTTTTGAATGTCAATGGTTTTTTTAACCTTTTTGTTTTACTATTATGTTTTTTTTTTATTGCATTCAAAGCATTTTACCAACAATTTAGCCAATAAACCGATAAGTTCAGCCGTCACTCTCAAAATATCAAAATATTACATGATAAACTTTAAAGTATTTTAAGGAATGTTGTTGTCGTTTGGCTTTGCATGTTTTTTAGACATTTATACAAGCTACACTCACAGAAATAAACCAAAAGTTTGCACTCCAAAAATATACCAACAGAAACTATAAAACTACTAAGAAAATATACCAAACAATCAGTAAATATCATATTTCTACATATAATATATTCAATTAGTGTCCATATATGTGTGCTCATATCAAACCATCATCGATATATCACCGTCATTGAAACAATTGGATAATCAATTGATGACTTTAAAGGAGCTGTGTCTAAATGGTCCAACAACATCTGAAAGTTATATCAATTTCCAAGCTATTGTAAATTGGTTTATCTGCAGTCGATGTTGGGCCTTTAGAGTTCAGTTATTATATATCCAGTATTAGAATAACCACAGTAAAAGATATATCTATCTATGCTAGCCCCGTTGTTGTACATACGTTTTGCTTACGACCTAAGCAACTTTCACAATCCAACCGACTTCTATAACTCTATCTGTATCTATATTCACAACCATATCCCCCACAAAACAAGACTATTCAAATCTATCGTATTCGTTTTTGAGTTCTGAATACTTTCCGTACTTTCCCCTTTATGAAAAACAAAACTAAGATGCTTTTTGAAATCACCATCGAGATCTTTGATCGATGATAAACGTAAAGTCGAGTTAAATCCAAAATTAAGTTCATCGCTCATTTCATGTCATTGCTAACAATCGTAACCGTAATCGTTGACCAGTTGGTATATTTTAAAATCGAAAACCAAAAACCGAAACACTTCACGTAACATCTTTTGGAATCCTTTTTCGCAATCGTAACTTGTATTTTTGAGCTACTAATTAGCACATTTAGTGTGTTGACATGCCGCACCAAAAACCAAAACAAAAAACCGAAACCGAATCCTTAAAAGTAATTTGTCAAATCCAATATCGAGTGACGGAACAAGTCGAGATCGAAAACAGAAGTAAAGTATGCGAGCAGCGACTGATGACGGAAAAGCATCTTCAGTGTTTCAATATTGAGTTGGCGATATCATATATTAATTCTAGACGATGTAGTTTACAATCAGACAATGGGACCCGGCGCCACCCTGGACAAGCGTCGCCCGGACCTGCGGGACGAGCTCGGCTACATTGCGCCGCCCAACAGGAAGCTGCCCCCCGTACCCGGCTCCAACTACAACACCTGCGACAGGATTAAGCGAGGTACAGTCATAAGTAAGCATCTAAGTTTCCAATGCAACATTTATTAACGCCTCCCGACCACGCCCGCGGCTCTGAGGGGTTCCGTTCCCCAGATCCGCGGTTCGTGGCCTGGGGCTTAGTTCTTTCTTCCATTTACTTTGCGAACGAAAAAAAAAAACAAAACGAAAAGTATTTTGCGTTGCCTTTGCATACACAGAGACACACCACACTCGAGCTAAGCTTTTCCGGAACCGAAAAATTCTTAGTGTTGCTTTTTCAAGCCGCTTTCTTTTGAGTTTCTCCGGATGCCCAACCCCTTGCCCCGGCATGCAAAGAACAAAGAAGAACCCGTTCCTAAATGTTGTTGTAAATTTAGAGATATTTTTATTTAAGCTTTGGGACTGCCGTCCCGTCCTTGATTGCCATTGAACTTATCGTTTAAACCTCTTCCCCCACTTCCAAATCCCGCACCATTCGGTTGCTTCGATTCGATTATGATTTCCATTGACCTAACTTTGATGTTGTACGAAATTGGAAATTGAAAAAATACCACACTCGAAACGAACCCATCCACCACACACCTCGACCCACATGAACACTCGAACACCACACGAACCGACCAGGCCGCGGTGGCCTGCGCTCGAACCACTCGACCTGGGATCCCCGCCGCAATCCCAACCTGTACGAGGAGCTGAAGGCGCCGCCAGTGCCCATGCACGGCAACCACTACGGCCACGCCCACGGCAACGCAGAGTGCCACTACAGGCATCCAGGTAGGAGGATCGAAGGAGTGGAATAGCGCAGAGGAGCAGCCGCTGTACTCCACGATTTAAGTTTATTACTCACCCTAAATATCCTTACTAACACCCCCTCAGCCAAGTCCATGGAAGCCGTTGGGTCGATTTATGGAATAATGTTATTTTTATTTTACTTTTTGCGTTGAGCTTCCTACTTGATAGTTTCCTCAATAGCAATAAGAGTGAATAGGATGCGTAACGCCTTACGTCCTTCTTGTATTATTATTCCTACAAGTCGACCCTTTCCAATATTAACCTACTTTTAGTTCATTTATCCGCACTAACATAAAGTCTAAGTCCTGGTCGCATCTAGCTAACTCAAGCTAACCAAGTAGTAAGTAATGGGTAAGGGTAACAGGTATCATCGATCCATACTAAACACACTAAAACCATTCCACCGAACCACTGAATACGATCAGGCAAAGTCACATGCTAACCGAGTTCTTTTCTCGCAATCGCAAGGCATGGAAGATGAAATCTGCCCCTATGCCACGTTCCACCTGCTCGGTTTCCGCGAAGAAATGGATCCCACGAAGGCCATGAACTTCCAGACCTTCCCGCACCAGAACGGACACGCCGGCCCCGTTCCCGGCCATGCCGGTACCATGCTTCCACCCGGACATCCCGGCCACGTGCACTCCCGCTCCGGATCGCAGTCCATGCCGCGGGCCAATCGTTACCAGCGCAAGAACAGCCAGGGTGGACAGTCCTCCATCTATACACCAGCTCCCGAGTACGACGATCCCGCCAACTGTGCCGAGGAGGATCAATACGTGAGTATTGGTATAGATTGGTACAGAGATCAGCATGATGCTCAACTTCGCCCCATAGCGCCGCTACACGCGCGTCAATTCCCAGGGCGGCAGCCTGTACTCCGGACCCGGTCCGGAATACGACGATCCCGCCAACTGCGCCCCAGAGGAGGATCAGTATGGATCGCAGTACGGAGGTCCTTACGGACAGCCCTACGACCACTATGGCTCACGCGGATCTATGGGACGACGCAGCATTGGTGAGTAAAAACAATAGCAATGTAAACAATAAGATGCGTTACGCCATAAGAGATCTGAAAGTCATTGGGGCTTTAATCGCACGATATTGTGATGTTTAGGTACATAATTACTTTCTTGATCCACAGGTTCTGCTCGGAACCCTGGCAACGGTTCGCCGGAGCCTCCACCACCGCCGCCACGGAACCATGACATGAGCAACTCCTCATTCAACGACTCCAAGGAGAGTAACGAGATCTCAGAGGCAGAGTGCGACCGCGACCACGGACCACGCGGCAACTACGGAGGTAAGTTTCGGGTTTAAGCTTTTGAAAAAATGAAGTCTTAGTTACGATAATAACTATATCTAACGTTCGTTGTGATACATTCGAGAGATTGCTCTAATTTTAATATGAAAAACTCGCCATCTTTTTCAATTCCATTTTTTCGAAATTTTTGTGTAAAATAATCAGAAGACTCCAACGAGGGTGAGTGATCCAACCGAAGTTGAGTTAGTTAGTGTGATTATCACGATCATCATTCGAAAGCCGATCACAGCCCATACTTCGATTTCTCATGAGTCCCCTCCTCTCGTTCCCATTCACCCCTTAGTTATTCATAAGAGCTCTCCAGCGATCATTGAATTTGAGTCATGACCATACCGAAAAACAGTTTTTCGTTGTCTCGATCATCTATAAATGTTCATGCTGTGTTTTGCTAAGCAATTTTTAAAAGATACATCACTGTTTTACCGTACATTTACATTTACAGTTAAGTTATTTTATGTTTATTTTGGTTTTGGTTAACCGTTTATATGTTTTTAAACCCTTAAAATCCGATTTAATTGCACATTTTCCATTTCATTTCACTTCATGGAGCACACACCGTTTGTACCTAAGTGTTTTCTATGTTTGTACCTAATGAGGGGATAATTAAATTCAAATCACTGTGACTAGAAACCTGCATGTCCCGACCTCTTAGAGGAACGTTTAAGTTTTATAGATAAAGGGATCCGCACTCATTTCAAAGCAAAGTATCCTGCACGAAGTTGATTCCAGATTGGCCGCCAAACTCATCATTTTTAGTACTAAGCCCATGTTTTTTGTTTTGATTTGAAGTTCATTGAGCATTTTTCTTTCTACTTTCTTTTATGGACTTTTATGATTAAATTTGTATATTACCCTACTCTATCGGTTCGGGCAACACACAACCAAATTTCTCTTGCAATATTTCGAAACCCCAAATGCTGAACTCGCAGCAGTGAAGCGATCCCCACAACCGAAAGATCAGCGCACCACCGAAGAGATGCGTAAACTGATTGAAAGGTAAGACCGCGGCAGAAATATGCCCACAAATAACCACAAGTCGATTGCACAGAAGTGTTGACTGTAAGAATCTAATGCAGTTCCCCCACTAATCGCAATCAATAATCTTTCCTCTTGTTCCTTTGTTTAATATCGTATTTGTGAATGGTATTCTGATCGCTGACACTAGTCGTCGACAGTTGTAAGTTGCAAACTAACCCCAACTAAATGTGACTAACCACGAATGCCTTGCATGCCAACACATCCACTAACTATAAACACATATAACTCTCTATTTACTGGTCTTTCGTGTGTATTTTCATTTTATTCGGATTGTTTGGTCCTTGATTTGTTTTGGTTTTGATTTTGGTTTGACAGCAAATCACAGTTGAATGTTTTGAAATTCCTTTGACATACTAAGCAGATCCCACACCATATGTATCTGCTGTTCACAAAATAATCAAGTGTTTCCATAAATACTCGTATTAACTGTTTATTGCAGCTTAGCGCTTGGCCTCAGCTTGCAAAAAAAAAAAAAAAAAAAGAAAACAAGAAGTAAACTATGTTAAACCACGAACAGAACATAAAGACACGGCCACCTGGGCGAGATTGGAGTTAGGAACGTCAGCGGAATGTCCAATCTCGCCATTTTGCAATGCTTTGGTTGCAGCCTTAATACATACACTAAATATTAATCCACCTTCAAAGGCCACTACTAATATTATCCGTCTTTTCGCCACCAGAAACGAAGCCGGCCCAAAACAACTCCAACTCCAACAAACAAATGGCGCAGGATTCACAGCCTACGATACTATGGCAGTGTAATTTGTAAGCCCCTCCTGCATCCGCCGGGCGAGGCAGCTTAGCTTAGTGTTCCGAGGGCATGGGGTGCGTGGGAGTTGAATGACACTCAGACACACACAAGTACACACTCAGACAGATACAGATCATCAGTACACAGACAAAGAGGAGGGAGCGAATAGCGCCCATATAGCGCATATACCCATACGATTATCCAACTACTTCAAGTAATTATTACGTAAAGAATGCCACTTCGAAAGCATATTTACATTGTCTATGCAAGCAAACCAAACATACATACAATATACTATATATAATTGCATTCAGATACGAATACCTACTATAAGTGTGTACTAAGGGAAATTATTGAAAGCTATACGAGAAAGCACGAGCGAAAAGAAAACAAGGAAAGAAAAATCGGAGGAAAAAAACATACTTATATATTCAACTACGAATATTCGAAACTAATTTTTAATAATGTATTTTAGTTTTAAGAGATACCTACCAAAATATCAGAGGAGACAGCAACTATGGAGTACTCTTGTGTGTAAAGAGAAGGTCGATTTCGAACTCTGTTTGTGTAAACTTTTTGCCATCTATGCCAGGAGCAGATAACTCATCCTTTGCCTAGACTAAGTCAGAGTCATAATATTAACTCGTCTAATTGATACATACATATATATTTAGTCAATACGCATTGTATAATTTCTCCCATTTGGGCAGCGCACACTTGACGTTTCGTTTGCGTTTTGCGTTGATTTGTGATGATTTGTAATTTGTAGAATTGTGTGAGTCATATATTTGTATTCGTCTTATTCTATTATTCGAGCACGCAATAGTGTTCTAATTTAATTTTACATTATTTTCTAATTCGAAAATGCGCTTCCACGAGATCAAACCGAAAACTGTTCAAAGCACAAATCGCAGCCACATTTGAATGTATTATACAAGATCCCCAGGACACCCGAGACCACACGGATACACAACAGTTGCACAATGTTGTTTAGAGGCCAATTCTTCTGATATTGGAACAAGAGTTATACGCATTTGAAGCTTTAAGAGAACGTGAAAATTGAAATTGTTTATTTCATTTCATTTGACCTACCTTAAGTTGATAGTTTGTAAGTTGCTAAATATATGATTTTGATTTTATTTAACCATTATTGTTTGCATTCATTTGTTTATTTCACTTATTGTTTGGGGGTTCCTTCCATTCGCCCTTAAAATCCGTGGAGATACCACCAACACTACAAAGACTGACTAATGCAAACTGAAAACGAAATCGGGAAGCGGAAGCGGAAGCGGATAGTCCAAGCCCACGAAGTAGTTCAGGCACTGCCATGAGATCGGAATCTTTGGGCACATCAAGAATTGCATTTAACCAACGGGAAGCGGAGACACTTTTTAGACTTCTTTCTTAGTCTTATGATTTGATTTTGATATGTTTCGGTTCCCACTTAAGCTATCAGAGCTCGTACTCACTCTTATACAGCCTATACCAATTTTACATAGATATATATCGCATATATGAATGTAGTGTTGTGAGAAAACTAAAATTGCTTACCTATATGAGTGTACGACAAATTTTCACGGCAAACGAACTACAAATATTAAGTAGAGATTAGTAACGGAAAACGGCATTTAATCAATAAACAAAGGAGTAAATCACTTACAAATTTTCAAGTAATTCAAATAGCAAGCAATAATCTAGAGCCAAGACCTTGCATTTCAGAAAACGTATCGCGAGGCAAGCAAGATTTTAATTACTCTCATAATAATTAGAAACTTTTCGGCAAATCAAAATCAAAACGAAAACAAAAACAAAAACACTTTTGGCATAAAGAAAATGAATCGAATAAATACACAAGCGGTTTGAAAATTAATCTTAGGCTAAGTAAAGTAATATTGTATCGACGAAAACACAAGTGGTGCATCAGACATTTTTCATATCGCTTTTTGTGTTGCTTCACCGTGAAAATACTTTAGTCGATATTCCAGTTTATGCATTGATTAAGCCCCGCTACATACTTGTAATTATTTAAGCGATAAGCTTACATGCATATACAACATATACAAATAATTTTCTACTTAACTTTACATAAAACGCATTAATCAAAATTTAGCTCGCATCATTAATAAGAAAGCCAGACAGACACACACGTACACACAAGGCACATTCAACTTCAACGCACGTCAAGGGGAACTAAGCACTAAGATCAGAAGAAGACACTTACATTTTGTAACCGAACGGGACACGCAGTTTAAAACGCATTTATACTAATCACTCGCTCCTTCTTAGCAGAACGAATATTATACGAAATTAAGAGAAGAATCAATACCACCCGCCAGAGGGAAGAGTTCGTAATCGTAATCATTAAGCGCGACATTATATGGTAAACCCCAATTCGAATACTACAAATATGTGTATTACTAATTACAATTACGAAAGCATACATATATTACCTATATTAAATATTGAATGTATTGAATATTGACAAAAGTCGGCCTCTCCGCGCACCACCACCACCTCGCCATCGCTCCACGCTGGGCCCATCTCGGTGGACACCGCCCGAAACTCGACCACATTGCATGCGCGACAAGCGAGAGCCGAACTTTGTCAGTTTCCAGTTTCAGTGTCATTAAAGTCAAGCAGAAACTAATTAAAATTAAATAAATGCCAATTTATGTTGGATAAAACCAAAAGCAATTACGAGTTTTATTTATTTCGGGATAGAAACTTCTTTATATCACTATTTTGTCATTCAACTATGCCTACTTGTTTAGTTTATTAATTTTTGCATTAGTTAATTGTTAATTTCCTTAATAGATTGCAACTATAAATGCTCCTTCTTGACTTCCCAATTGAGCTCACCTTATGCTTAACATTTACCACATACTTTTGTGCGTTGCTCAGTTTTACTCTGGGTCAAAATTATGTTATTTCCTCAGGTACTGCGGTGTAAAATAGGTTTATTTCATGTAAAATATTTTCCTCGTTAAAATATTATTCAAGGGAATGTAACAAAAGTGATAATAAAGCAAACTCCAACGGTCATAAAGGATCCAAACATCCATTTAAAGGTCCTTAAACTACAATCAGTCAATCTCAAATTGTAAGTTAATACAAAAAAGGATTCATGACCTCTTGGTCCCCTTATCCGTTAATGGAGTGAATTGTAAAGACCGGCAGGTATAAATATTGCTCGCTGAAATAAAATATTCGATATCTTCTTACCTCAGTTGTCGTTTCTCTCACTGTTGAAATTTGAGTTAACTATCAGTCCGGGTTTCACGAATCCTTCAATTTATCTTAACGAGAAATTATAGAGTGTTGCTAGGTACTACGTTTTTTTATAGGTATTTTTGTGAGTATTCCTTCATTCATTTACTGCACCAACATTATTTTCTCAAGACGAAAAAAGTCTTAATAGAGAGGCTCATGTCTACAATAGCTCTACAATTACATTTTCTTAGAACCAATTACCCGTCTTGAAAGATACTTATATTGTAAAATCAAATCAGTTTTCTCGAAACCTGTAATTTACCTAAACGATAAAGAAAAAAACCCACACATAACGCTCAACACCAGCTATGAAGTCATCTTCCCAGGTTCAGTCAACTCTCTGAAATCAGCTGCAATTTTCCTATACTTGATATAGAGTTCGGCTTCCTGTTAATGTTAAAGCAGTTGAAAATCATACAAACCAACTTTGCAAAAGTTTACAAAGTGTGACTAAAAACCGGCCCTTAGCGGAAAATTTGAAAAGTAGGACAACACAAAGCGTGCCTTTCCAAGAGCTCTGTTTTGGCCGCAAATATTTGGCCTTCGGAGGCAGCACTTGGGATTTGCACATCCAGTTAGCGCTGGCCAGCTAAGCCCTCTGCAAAGAACAAGTGCTGATGCAAACACTGGCCGTTGGCCAAACCAATAGCCCGCCGGTAGCTGCAGTTCCAGATTGGCAGAAGTTTCCCAAGTCTTCAAAGTCTCTTGGCCATCATCATTATTTGCATACACACGAGTACGCTGATTACCCAATTCAATCGAAGCTATTTCCAACTCACACTCTCCGAGCGGCGGCCTTGCATAATACGATATAATTAATTGTTGCAAAATCCGATGATTTACAACTAAATGTTGCTCATTAAATATAAAGCCGCGCAGCCATGCCCACTTTTCGACGGCGTGGATGTGGTCGAAGGAAAAAAAAACTGAAAATTATTCGCAAACAATTGCGATTGACGCCCCGCACATCCAACAATTGTGCATTGTCTTCGGCGCTGTGACGCGGCTGCATAACAGAAATGGCAAAAATTTCATCATGCAAATGGAAGCGTTTAAACGCTAAACGGCCTGCGAGCTGCTGGCTACTGGCTACGAGCCACTGGAAGCATGACAAATACTCCCATCAAATATTGATCATTTAGCGTATCAGTCGCAGAACTCCGAGGAAGTCGTAAACTGCAATTGTCTTGGAGCGTGGCAATAAATCTGCCACGAGAGGCAAAGAGAGAGGCGGCCAGAGAAAATAAGAGTAAAATGTGATGGAAAAAATAACGAACAAAATAAAAACAATGTTTGACAATCAAATCGTTTGCATATGAATGAATGAATCGGAGGCAGGTCGAGCTAGAGCTGGCCACTGTGGGGATAATGGAGGCGGGGCAGCAGGTGGAACAAGTAGGCCAAAACGGGCATCATGCCGCAATTTGCATAGGCCGAGTGGAAATGATGGGAATTTCACAAATAATACACACAGAGCCAGCATTTAGTAAACAATAAATGTAATAGTAAGCCTAATAGGCCGAGTTAAAGCCATTAATTTGAAAGTTTACAGGCTCGAATGGCTCAGAGGTGTAGAAAAGTGTGAGTTAATCAGTTAGCCAGTCGTGGAAATTTAACAGGTAGCGTACAAAAAGAATATTCATATTATTTTTAAATAAATAAAGCAATAAAAGTATATATTCATCCACTAATGACGTTGAATGCGAGGCAATAATTTGCCAAAGTCTTTGTCACTTCACAAAATTGAATAAATTGAGAGAAAAGAGTTGCGTTGCGCTGGACCTGGGCGGGCAGGCATGAGTTGGCCAAGCGAGTTCGTTGCCAGAGTCTTTTGTTTGCACCAGGGCTGGGCAGCTGGGGCCGAGACTGGTCAGCTATAAAGTGGCATCTATATAGATTAGAGAGATACGGGACAAGCGCGTTGACAACGCAATCTCGGTGCCGCCCTTTAATTATCTTTTATGTCCCAGCCGGCTGCAAGTACCTGAAGCGCGCGTTTGCAACATTATTTCACTTGCCATTTCAGCAGCGTCATGGCTGTTGTGCCTGGTTAGTGTCTTGGCAACGTTGCCTCACTCCCCATTTTCTGTTTACGGCCTCCCGCTAATTCACTGCTGCCTCCGCAGCCCAATCAGCAAGTGTCGTCGGCGACCTTGCAACAATTGCTACACTTGCACTTGCCTAATGTCACCCGAGGGGGAGGCTGTGCCTGTGCCTGTCTGTTGGCCTCTGCTCCAGTTCTCCGCTCCGCCCGTGCTCCATATTGACCCACATCTGCGCCCAGAGTCAACAGCACCTGGCGAGCAATAACCCCTCCGTCGTCCGTCGTCATCCGCAGCTTCACGCTCGGCAAGAGCGACTCCGAGTCCATCACGTGCTCCGCTGCCGCTGCGGTTGGCGTCTTGAACCTGAGCCGCTATACCACATATAGTTATTTGTACAAGAAATGTTTCGCTGCGGCTTTTTGCTGGGTGTTGCTGTGTTGCTGCTTTGCAGGGTGGAAACAAAAGATTTATTACAATAAAATATTTCTGTCGCTGCGCTGCTGTTTTTCGCTTTTTGTTTTGCTGTTTTAATTTTTGTTTTGTTAGCTGAAATTTATTTTATTACATTTTTTCAATTTCTTTCTCCAGTCCGTCGTCGGTGTGGCTGGCTACGTTTTGTCTTACCTGCGGCTTGTGCAATGTTGCTGTTGCCGCTGCTGATGCGGCTGCTGCTTCAATAATTAAAACAACAACAATTATGTGCTTCACTCAAATGCGTTAAGTGTCGGCGGTTGCTGTTGTTGTTTTTCGACGTTCGTAAATCAGAGTTTAGCATGACACTTGCTCGGCTTGGTTATATAAAAGCGGAATGCAATTGAAGCCCCCCAAGAGGCTAAAGACTTGTGATACGGCCAAATTGAATTGGACGCCCATTTAGATATGGCCAACTCGCAGGGGAGACAAAAGACTACGGTCTGCGGTGTGACAACATTTTGAAAATCTTATGAAAATCAAATCGATTTCCTTTGTGGCTGACGAAAGCAGCTTGCAGGCGACCTTGGCTTAATTAGCCGCTAATTGTTAGCCACCTCTGAAAGAACCCCAAATGGTTAAAGAGCATTATGTAAATGGGGGAAAAAATCAATTACCGAAAATCAAGGAAATCCCCGGGGCAACTCTAGCCCATTGTGCTCATTAACAATAAACTGCATCTGTGAGCTTATCGCCGCTCATCTTTTCCTTCCCTGCCTCAGACTCATTTGCAAGCGCCACATCAATTGTAGATTTGGCAAAATCTTCGCCAGCCTCGTTAGGCAGCAACTATGTATAGCTGAGCAGAGATTTCCCAACGGAATGTTTGCTTGAACTCGAACTTTTGGCGGCTTTTCGGTTACCTAATCGGCGCAGCAGCTCCCGGGGCTCGGATCGCAACTGCAACTGCAACTGAAGCAGTTGGCTTCCTCTGCTAACCTTATGCGGGTTTCGCTTTCTGGCACACAAACACACTGCGCAAAGGCGGGGGGAGTCAATTAAAGCAGCATGTTGCAACTTGCCACTTGCCGCCAAACAGGCGACGCGACCGACTGACTCGGAATCGCAGCGATGTTAGAGGCGATGCTGCTGCCACACAGTGGTTCCAGGTCCGGAATTTTTATTTTTTTAATCTCTCTATAAATTTACTATTAAACTATGTCAAATGTAAGGAAGGTTCCTCCGAGTGTTCAGTAAAAGTCTAATTAGAATTGTATTTAAGGTGCACCTTACATTTATATTCAATTTAAATCCAAAATATATCTTATGTACATCGCAGATGTTAGTCAGCTTCCTAGCTTAATTTGGGTAGCATAACCTAATCTCAATGCTGCACCACTGTGCCGTTTTGGGCACTCCGCACTCCCTTCGGCGTGGACAGGCTGAAACTGCATCTGAAACCCAATCTCTGGCTGGGGCAGCTGTACTCGACTGCAACTTGGCAACAGGAAGTGGCAACGTTATTGTTGCCGCTTATCTGCCGCAAAGATGCCTCCTTGAGATTTATTTGGCATCTAGCAGGCGGCCAGCAGAAAATGGCAACAGACATCCCAATACCAATCGCTGCCATCAACAGCAACATCATCAGCAACATCATCAGCATCAGCATCATCATCATCATCGCCATTGCAGTTGTTGACTTTGGCTCATGGCCTTTTTGCCAATTCCAGCTGAACGATGACGCCGACTTCTTCGGGTTTTTCGGCACTTATCTAACTTCCGGGTGTCGTTGTGGGCAGAAATCGAATTTTTATGAGTTGCATCTTCACCGTAATGGGCCTCAAATCATCCCCAAAACTACCGCAATTGCTTCATCCACCGGGGGCGATGCTTTGAGCAAGCCGTCATTAAAAGCATTTAGTTTTTATGTTTATGTTTATTATTTTTTCGTGTTGTTTTTATTTTTTATGTCAGCTTTACATGAAGTGGTTTCTGTACATCAATTTTCGTGTGTGTGTGTGTGTGTGTGGTCCGTATGCGGATTATAATTATGTTTAAGTACATATTTACAAAGCCATTTTATCGGGGGCTGCCCTTGCAACACTTCGCACACCTACACATACTCAAAAGGTCTAAAAATACCAAAGCTCTGTACAATTTTTTGTTTTTTTTTATTGAATTTCGTATAACTTAAAGACAAAAACGCGCGCATGACTAATTTGTACACTTGGGAAAGCGAGATGGAGTGACAGAGAGAGGGACAGAAAGAGATGATAATTCCAGCGGATAACGAAAGATATGAAAAGTTTGTACAAAATGAAGGGTGGGGAGGTAGTAGGAGGATGGATGGGGGGACGTAATGTCTTACATCTTTAAATCTATGCAACAATTTCAACGGGTTCAGTTGTACACAAAGGCGATCTGCGGAAACTGGGGCAGATTCCCGGAGGGGCAGCGGGATCAGTTATCAGATATCAGTGCTGTCGCGTAGCCGAAGGCTAAGCGCGGACCCGGAGCCGGGTCCGTGACCTGGACCTAGTCCCAGCCGTGGCTGTGGCCATGGCTCACTGGCACCCAGACTTTTTCCCAGACGGGCTTCCAGACCTTCTTCCACTCCTGGACCTTTACCTCCTTCCAGACGGGCACATTGACCGACTGCCACTCGTCCTTCCACGCCTGCCGCTTCTCGGTGGCCCACACCTGGCGCTTCTCGGTGCGCCAGATCTGCACCTTCTCCTCGATCCAGGTCTCGCGCTTCTCCTTGATCCAGATCTGCTTCTTCACGGTCTTCCACACCTGAGCGGGAAGCATTGATCAGCGATGGGTCACATGAGGACCGGATGAGAGCTTACCTGAATCCACTCATCCTTCCACTCCAGCTTCTTGTCCTGCTTCCACTCCTGGACCTTCTCCGTCTTCCATTCCTGCTTCTTCTCGGTGCGCCACTCCTGCTTCTTCTCGGTCTTCCACTCCTGCTTCTTCTCGGTGCGCCAGACCTTCTTCCACACTGGCTTCCAGATCAGCTTCTTGCGCCAGAGATCGTGGCTGGTGTACTCCCAGCCCTCGTGATCCTTGCCCAAGAACTTCTCGCCGGGAATGCCCATTTTCACCTGCGCAAAGTTCGCTCTTAGTCTGCATTCGTTCTGCAAATCCGAGGTTTCACTTACCCATTGGGGCTCAAACATTTGCTTCCAGTCTGCCACCTGTACCTCCTTCCATACGGGCACTTGAATCTCCTTCCAGAAGGGAACCTGCACCTCCTTCCAAATGGGCACCTGGATTTCCTTCCACACGGCCACCTTGGTGGGCACCCAAATGGGCTTCGTTATCTTCTTCCAGTCGGCCACCTTGACCTCCTTCCAGGCGGGCACCTCCCTCTCCTCGATCTTCGGCTTCTTCACGATCTTCCAGTCGGGCACCTGTTCTTCCTTCCAGACGGGAACCTGACGGAACGGATTGCCATTAGCTTTCGGTGATCGGCAAGGACTCCTGGTGACCATACCTTAACTTCCTTCCAAATGGGTACCGAGACCTTCTTCCACTTGGTCTCCCACGCCTCCTTCTTGACGGTCTTCCACACCTGCACCCAATCCTCCTTCCAGGTGAGCTTCTTCTTCCACACTCCCTCGGGGGGATGGGCATAGGCCAAGCTAAGGATTAGCGCGCAGCTGGCGCTGAGTAGCTGAGGGGGAAGAGCGAAGTGTTATATTGAATATTGATCCCCTTCATATCAGTTCATTATTATTATTTTTATTCATTACATGTGCATTTGCAACTGTTACTTAATTTTAAATAAAACTTATGTCATGGTAAGCTTAGGGGAGTTCGCTGCCAGACAATTGTTTATTATTTAGTTAATCGGTAAAGTATTATTAAGTAATGTATAAATACGAAGCAGAAGGCGAAAGTGGTGCGAAGACATCTTCCTGGTCATCACAAGCGAGGCTTGTTTGGTTTGTTAATGATTTTTAAATTTCGGTTTTAAAGTTCGAAGTATAATCGGAAGATTTCAAATTGTTATTTTTTCGGTTTGTTCAGGGCATTAACATTGTTCTACGATCCGACGTCACTTTAATGTCATCACTTGTGTTGTCTCTTTGATCACTTTCTGAGGATTCACTTCCCAGTGCACCTGGGTGCCGCGGACACTAACCAATAGACTTAGGGATCTCATGCTTGGTATCCCTTGCTCCACCAACAGCGCGTCAAAACAAAAGGAGCTGATATGTGCCTCCGCTGAGGTCTTCTACGAACACTATTCGCATTTCCCTGCATGCACATCTATTTATATTTTGAATGGTCTCGTCTCTGAACCACTGTCGCAGTCGCTGCCCCCGTCGCTGTCTCAGTAGCCGTCGCAGTCGCCGTCGAAGCTGGCATCGGCGGAGGCGGCAAAAACAAAAGAAAGCAACAACTGAAGCCCCGGCCAGCGGACCAAAGCTTTGGCTCGATCCATGTGCAAAATGCACGCAGCCGCAGCGCCGCGTCTCAGTCGGCGTCGCACTGAAAGCAAAAGCCAAAGCCACGGCGAGATGTAAACGAAAACGAAAACCGCAGAGAGTGAGAGTGGAGCGGCGCTCACCTGAGCCACCTCAAGTCGGAGCTGGCTCTTGGACCGCCGATGACAGTGCGGATTTTCCCAAGGTAACGACGCAGCCTCAACAAGACAAGACGAGAAGAGACAATGCGAATGCGTATACGTACTGTGGGCCTGCCATTGGCTCGAGTACCGTGCGTTGGCTTTGGACCCCGACTCAGAGTCCGAGTCCACGGATCACTTCAGAGAAGTCTTCACGGAATGAACGGTCAGAAGACGACCCAGAGCCAGAATGTAGAGATAATTATGATGTTGCCAGCGGTGATTGGTCAAGTGCAGCAGCGCACTGGCAGTTCATACGCAGGCGGAAAACAGAGAGGTTTACTTACAGCTAAGCACTTCTTGTTAGGTGTAGGACTACACTCAGAGAAACAGGTGGTGTGTACTTTCTAGATAGTACATCTGTTCATGTACTAGTAGGGTCTCAACAGAGACAAATATAACAAGTTCTAGGCTCTATTAAAATGTTTTCCGGAAGCCAGGGAGAATGTGAATGTGTCTAGTCTAGATTGGTACGTACTTAAACGCACTTGTAAGTAGAAGATTTCTACGCTCTCGCTCTGTAAGATAAAATTTAATTCAAATGAATGGCCGTTATGCATCTTGTTATTAAAGAGTCTTTGGTGGCAATGCTTATGGAACTAAGGAGGTTGTGAAAGAGTTTCTCAGTAAAGTAAAGTTCTGAGATAGGTTTCAAAAGGTTCTTCTGACACCAGAGTATTATGAAAAGTATTATTACTCTTCCCACTTTCTGTACTATATGCGAGCGTCGGTCTACACTTTTAGGGGTTATGTGGATACTTTTAAAACTACACTATGTAAGAAAACAACATGTACATAGATTCTGTAAAACCCGAATACCCATCTCAATACAAGGGGTTTAATCTTCTCTTTTCAAGCAATAATTAAAATGAAATAGATTTTAATTAAGAAGGTGCATGTTGCTATCATAAATTCAAGGTTTTTGAAAAACATATTTTGCTGGTAACTGACAGTACGATTGTACAAATATCCCCCAAATGTGTTACATTTAATCCAAATTACTACATGAGATCCCAATCAATCTGCTCCAAACTCTGTATTAACCATTAATCATCGTAGGCAAAGATCACGCTAAACATCCTCTAAAAAGGCAGTAAGCCAACGAAATCCCGAGGAGAGCAATCAATCATTTCGCGCGGTGCAAAGTAGATCGCCTCAGCTATCGATAAGGTCAATTGCTGTGGGCGTGGAGCGCCTGCCCCCGCCGCAGTGGGCCACTCCACTAAGTAGTCTTAAGCTGTAGCCCCAGACTACGTGCCCGCGTTTTATATGGCACTATTAACCATGTCCGACTCTGCGCTTCGAACTTGAGCTCTGGCAATTAGCACAGGCGGGTTCAGTCCAGTCCAGTTGCGTGCGAAATGATCACAGCGGATCGGCAAAGCAGGAGGAATTCGACTCTGCAGACAACAGCAAATGCCATTTATGGACGGGTCGACCTAAGCGCTCAAATGGCAAAGCGACCTCAGCGGACGGACGAACGGACGGCGCAGCATGAAGACTTTAAGCGCCACCTAAGCTAAGACTACACTAAGAAAAAAAAGTATTTGTTCAGCGTTGTTATACGTTTTGAAAACTTAAGCATGAAGAGATTCGACAAATACATGTATTTAAATTTCTTGCTTTGTTTTTCCAAATGGTAATTAATATTGTTATTTATTCTTGCAGTATTTGTTGATGTTTAAAAAAATATTATTTATAATAATTTATAATACTTTCTTTGGCCAAGTGTAGTGCTGTTAATCCGCATCAGTGACTACCGGGGCCGAGTGCAGGTTTTAGCATGGTTGTAAGGCGCGCGCTTTATGGACTTCCAAATAATTTGGCCATTAGGCTTTGATAAATGCGTCAAGACCAAACAGTTGGCAACAATTAACACCCAAGAAGCGGGCCAAGTCAGAGGTAAGTTTTCTGGTATTGGAAGTGCTCACAGAGCGCGACGAGCACCCTGAGGAGCTGACTGACTGACGACCCTTTGGCCGATCCGACGCACCGTAAATAATATGCACAAATTGAAAACGACAGGGGTTACATCACAGGCCCAGGAGGAGCAGCCAGACGACGGAAAGGCGGGAAGGAGGAGGAGCAGTCGGCCTTCAGTGCAGGCACTGCAAAAGGAAAAGCAGACCAAAAGCCAATTTACCAAAAAAAAAAAAAAACAGCAAACTCGAAATTAGGTAAAAAAAACACGAATGTAATGAAGAATGTGCAACAGGCTCGGCTGCGACTGCGACTGCGACTGCGACTGCGACTCGGATTTTATTTAGCCAGTTTTGGCTTTTTGTTGTGCAAAATGAAATTGAAATTCCTGAAACGTGCCCAGCAGATCGGGTTTGGCTTTGGCCGAAGATGTCGTGGCTGTGGATGGAGAGCAGGATGGCTTGGTGGATCGGTGGATCGATGGCCGCGGGCTCTGGAAACACCTTTCGCTACGCTGTGGCTGTCTTGTCCCTGCTCACCCAGTTGCATAATTTACGGCATCTCTTTATTGATCTGGACGTTTATATGTAGGTTATGCATTGCCTTATATTACGGGTATGACACGATCGGCAGGCAGACAGGTTTCCGCTGCAGTTAAGTTCGGTTCCCGGCTAGGAAGCGTGTGAAATTGCCTGAAAAGCGTTTAGCTGCTGTGGAGAAGGAAATGGAAGTTTAAAGAGAAAGGTTCGATGGGTCTTGACATTTCGGAGAAATGTTTTGGCAGTTTGTTCAACTAATCCCTTAATGGTCTTGTTTATTTTATGGCGGAGGAATCGGGGAAAATATAAATAATTAAATGATTAAAAGCCGCACAGGTAGTACTTAACCATTAGACGGGTTCTTATTTGCATTTGGAAAATAAACATGTGGAAGGCAGCTGTAGGAACTTTGTTTTCTCTTCTGTAGAATCTTAATTTAAGTGGCTGTAATCTCCCTAATTAATAGGAACAGATTTAAATGCACTTCTTAACTTACTTCTTAAGAACTAAGTTAAAATATTCTTTAATTAAGATCAAATATAAATTTAAAGCAAGTTAAATTAGGTTACTGCAGGTTTAGAGCTTATATAAGCGCCTAAGAGCACCACGAGATTCGATTTAAATATAATAAATAAAAAATACTAAAACTTAATAAACAAAAATATTATAAGGGTGGTTATTGGAGACAGTTTAAGATCCACCTCCGACCAGGAAATTCAGCTCCCAAACATGGTATAAAAAGTAACAAAGCAACGGCCGAGTAAGCAACTATGACTGTATAACAATTCTTAACTACCTATCTATCAGAAATACTTATAACATTCTAATAATATTAATAAATATAAATTTACTTAGTAAATTGATGTATCTTATAGCTCTCATAAAAACAAAAGAGGCAAATCTGTCACTTTAACAGACAATCCCTTCTGATTTTAAGTTATTTGATCGAAATCAGATGCATTTTATTGATATGTTTATGGAAACGGTTAAGTCTGGTACTTAATTTAAACCAAATCTAGTAGAATTAGAGTAATATTTCGTAGCAATAGTTAAAGTTTTTTATACAATTTATGTTTAAATATTAAGCTTATAGATTCTATAGAACAATCTTTATATAAAGGTAATACTTCGTTTTTCCTTGTTATTCAGAACGCCCTTTCAGTTCAGATGTTCTCATTGAAGTTTTAAATTTAAGTTCCATTCTTTGTTAGACATTTATTACATTTCTTGGCAATCAAGTGCATTTCCCATCCCCGGGCCACGTATGTACATAGACCCAACTTTATTGCACATACGCCTCATTGAGTGGAACGCTGTTGCAATGTGACTGGCAACTAGAAATAGCAAGCACTTATCTGCCGAACAATAAGCCATAACAAAACACTCACGTTCACACATGGTTAACCTTCAATCAGGCCTAATCCAAGTGCAGGAGAGACCCAGGAGACGACGACGACGAGAGGAGAGGCCTCCATGGCGGTCTGCAACGTCATCGTCGTCATCTCACCGGTAATTGCTCGTGGCTTTCTTCACTCGCCGCTTGGCACTTGGACTGTCCCAATTTGTTACGTGAAGCTGGAGCTGGAATACAAGCCAAAGTCGAAGCTGCAGGTGCTCGAGTGTCGACGTTAATGTCATTGTTGCCACGGTCCGGCTGACCCACATCCATGGTAAATGAAGCCGCGCTAATTGCAGGCCGATAAATTGATTTCATTGCAGTTGCATCACGCATGCGTCCACGGGGAGCCAACGGGCAGGTGATTCGAGGCGGTGGGTGCGTTTAGGCGGCTTAATCGAAACGCCAAATTAATTGGCCAGGTAATCAGAGTTGAAAGTGCGTGCACATTTACCCCGGGCAGTGGCATTATGGGCTCTCTGGTGGATTTAGCAGCAGGTGGCCGCCAGAGACTGGCGCCAAGTGCTGGCCGAAATCCAAAATCCACTCGGAAAGATGAGCGCGGCACTTCGTTCACTTGTTTCCGCCAAGGTCGGCCGGACTGCAGACTGCGAGTTAACAACATGTTGAACACCGCCAACAGGTATTAACGCTTATTAATGGCAACAAGCAAAGCGAGAGCCTCGCCAAGCCTCTGTTGCAATGGCCATTAAGCAAGAAGATGCTGAGCCGCAGACGGAACATTGATT